ATAGCTCATTGCCTTTACAGGGCCTTAGTAAAGGGTCCTCTTCTCGATTCGGAGAAAAGAGGTGATTTGCCCTTTTTATATAATACCAGAAACTCTTTGTAAATAAGTGAGGCACAGAGTGGTGGGGCTTCCTGTCCAGCTGCAGATACTTCTGCCCTGCGATCAAAGGATGACCAAAGAGCAGATTCCAACTGAGATGCACTGAAGTATGGCCCCATGGGCCTCTCTCCAGATTGGCAGTGATGTGATGTGATAGATCTGCACTGGAAATTTCTTTAATGACCGTCAAGTGGCATTTACATTGGCTTAAAGTATTTTTTATTGCTATTAAAGTTAGAATCTCTCTATCCAGAAGTCACTCCTTCTCTGGGGTTTTGCTAAATTGCTGTCTGTGGAAGTTCCTTCTCCAGTTGCCCAGGGGAGGGACTGCTACTGTTTGGCTGGCTGTTATTACGGTAGCCAACACCAATGTCACCCATTTTCTTTCACTCTCATCATCACATTACTGTTTCCTAATCTTTTTACGACCCTTTCCAAAGCCTTAGGCAGCAATACAATGTGACAGTATCATCAAAGAAAGAAACAAACCATGGTACTACAAAATTAAGGAACTCCAAATAAATCCAAAGAATAAATATTTTCTGAGGACAGCATCAATGTTTAAACATAGGGGGTGTTTCAGTAACTGAGACACAACACGAATCAGCTTTGCAAGCTCTGTGTCAGATGCAAATTGATGTTAAATATCTGGTCGCAAAGAGCAAGAAAGATGACAAGCTCTCTTACCCAGTAAATTGAGCTACCAGTAATTACATGCCTGAGACACATTTTAACAAGGTAAGTTTGGCTGTGCTCAGCCAACATCTTACTGATCACCCTTCCTTGCTTAACATCTGTAAGCAAACCAACATGTTTGTTATTTTTAGTGAGGCACCTGGAGTTTAGTAGTCAACTATTCATTTAGTTTTACACTAGGTCTTTTAAGGGTATGATGTTCATAAATACCCTTAAACACCTTTCCCTATTGCAAAAAACATTTTGCTTCCAAAAGTTAACTGAGCTAGAAAAAGAATGAAAGATCTCACAAAGGCACTCAGTTGTACTGTAAATATACTTCTTCACATAAAGACCCCTAGGAGACATTAATTTGCACCGCTGTGCAGAATTTTCCTGGTTTGTTGTTTTGGCTACTACAGGTACAGAGATTCCAAGAAGCCTTTGAAAAGGGAAGATTGTGAAATCTCTCTTTATTTATGGGGTATCAGGACAATTCGGGGCCTTCTAATTTACCTGAGGTGGAGAGTTGTCAAAAACTGCCCTTCTTTTCCCATCCACTGCAAGACCTAGAACACCACAGGCATTTTTAGAAAACGTTTCAGAGGAAAAAAGAAAAAAAAAAAAAGTGCAGTGTTACTTATATACCCAGTTTCTTTATAATAATTTGCACTTCAGATTGCCAAGAATTGACTTGAAATAATCTAGTCTCTTTCATCTAATCAGAGCAATTATCAAAATAACACCACTTACTTGTAATATACTTCAGTTACTTCACTTAGGCAGATATATTTATACTGAAGGAAGATCCTAGAGAGAACTAAGTGCAGGTTATCTTTCCAAGGCAAAAATACAGGAATTCCCTAGAATAATGATGCAAAAACCAAATAGCCTACACCGCCTAACGGAACGTAGCCCAGCCACCAGCCCGCTTTCCCCAGCACTGGACCAGCAGCCCTGGGACCCGCTGAATTTGGGGAGATGCCGCTGCTGCCGGGGTTCCCTCCCTGCAGCTTTTTCAGGTTCCCCACCTGCTGGTCACGCTGGAAAGCAGCACTGCACGGATATATTCTGCAACATGAAAATAACAGACTCAAGTGATTCTGCCCTCACACCGAGGTACATCCACAGGGCATTAATGAAGTGTCTCTGCATTTTTTTACTGTTAAAAGTGAGATCAGCATCTTTGATGATATCCCAGTAAAACAACAATGAAAGAAAGGGCAGAAATACCTGATCATTAAAGCTTTTCAAAAAACCAGAAGACTTCTCGCACTTGAAAGCGTTTCCTATCTGCTTAGATTCTAAATACAAGAAAGAACATAACTGCTGGACTAAACTCATTATTTAAGTTCACAGCATAATCAGATCATTACTAACAGGTGATGTGTTCACTATGGGATTCAAAGTCTCTGAAATAATCTGAAAAAACAAACATCAAATAAAATTAAAAAATGATCAAAATTATGACGTCTATACTGTTCCACAGTATAACAAAGACAAGGATAGCAATGCCTGTATTGTATGGCTTTCCTCACGAAGCACCAAAGATCAGTGAAGCTATCATGGTGCTGGAGAGTAAAAGCATCACCCCTGTGAAACCTACACATTCAAAGAAAACAAAAAAAGCATGATGTATTGGCAAAATACAGGCAACTTGAAAACTCCGTTCTCTCAATGTTTTCTACCTGAAAAAAGGGCAATTTTCCTTTCCTCTCTCAGTTCCATGTTTATTCACTGGATTAAAAACTAACACGAAGCCTACAATCTAAAGCAGAAAGACTAATTTCACAGCTGTTGTATCTCTGTATACACCCCACTCACAATATCAATTAGCAGTGAGGACAGTTTCCTTATTGCTACTACTGCAAAGCAATTACCAAAGCATTCAAAATTCAGGGCAGGCTTTCCGGAAGATTTTGATTTCGCATACAGCGCCTGGCTAGCTGTCAGGTAACAAGACGGACTGGCAGCTTGAAGAAGAGTGTTTGCACCGCGTGGGAGGTGCACTGGGCTCCAGCAGCCCCTGAGCGCGCACAGCACCACCTTCCAGGGAAGGGCTGGGGACACGGCGTGGTGTGACACACCCCCCCCCCACCACTCACCAAGAAACTAATGCAGAGGGATTCACTCATCTCCAAACAAAGATCTGCCGTGATGCTCCTGACACAAAGGAATCCTACACTCACCCATTCAGAGCCGTTGCAACCTGCTATAATAAAATTGTAGAGGGAAGAGAGGAGCTGGGTGACAACGGCTAAGCAGATTTCATCTGGCAGTATTGTAGTAGCACCCAGTTAGAAGTGGCTGAAAGCAGCACTTACAAGATGGTAAATGAACACTAAAGCAGTTATGTATTTCTACCTGATAAATATGATCATTAAGTTGTAAGACAAATGAAATGCATAAACTCAGCAGGTCCAAATAACAATGTTCACTACAAACAACTCACAACACACGAAGTCATGGAACCATTGCCACGTATATACAGCGCTGCTGCAACAGGCTTCTGCAAGGGGAAATGTGCCAACACCCTGTAGGAAAATCTTCAGATGCTACTCACAGGTCCAGCATGACACAACAGCAGAAAATGACTGTGAAAGGTATTCCTTGTGGTAAAGTGTCGGCATTACACTCTAGGTGAGTTCCCAATTAACTGCAATTTTTGTATGAAGATACTCTTTCAATTATAAAAACAGAAGTTACCAGCAATAACAAAACATAATGTCTGACTTTGGTTAATGCCAAATGTTTAGACACTTCAGTGGACACCTGTCTCAGTATTTGGCTTAGCTGTCACTGGTAGGACTGTTCCAGATTTTATATTGCATCTCCATCGATTGTGAAGTATTTGCTGTTATGATGCCCTAAGCAAATGCTATTGATTGCTCACTCCTGCCTACTTTATATAGCTAAAGTTATATTCCAGCTCATAAAAACACGTTCAGATCATCAGAGTTAATTATCACTTAAAACTCTGAATCTGAAGAAACAAACCCCAAACTCCCTAAGCAGCAGCCTAATTTTATTATAAAGCACACCTAGAGGTCTGTATTTGCTGTCAGACAAGCTGTAAGACTTCCTGTAGGAATTGCTCTAAATCTGGGCTAATAATTCATAACATTAAGTAGTGACAGTAATATCGTAAACAGACAATCCACATGATAGATACACAGAAAATCTGCTTGATTTGTGACAGAAAGTAAGACTGTTCTGAAGCCATAGATAGATTTTCCATAAGTAAAAATACTGCCTTGTGATTCTTTTTCAAATTTAGGGACTGATAGAAAACTAAATTTCAGTCCTTTACTGAAGTTTAAGGGAGAATGTAAACACAGATTTTTTTCATTCTTATTCAGTTTAGAATATTTCTATAGACTTAATGAAACTAGCACATCTAGTTGGATGGGAATACAAAATCTCTAGCTCCCAACATTTTTGATTGCAATTTCACATCTAACTTCTCTTTATATTCTTGCTCTTGTGAGGCATCTACAACAGCAAGTATTTTCCCTCTGAAAAACAGGCTTCAGAAAAAGTCAAATTAACTAATGGGTAGTGATGCTAATAAACTAAGGAATAAAATGACAGTGTCACCTGAATGATTGAGACTTTATGCTTGAACCCCTTGTGGAGCAAGAGCTTTTTTGTCAAAAAAGCAAAACTGATTTTTACTCTGTGTAGTACTTTGTCATGGTTGGAGCCTGGTCGGCAGCCAATCACCGCAGCCAGTCACCCACCCTTCCCCACCACCACTTGGGAATGGGGGAGAGAATTGGAGGGGTAAAGGGGGACTCGCAGGCTGAGATAGGAACAGTTTAATAATGGTAATAAAACAAGAACAATGACAATAATAGAAAAAATATAAACGGGCAATGCACAATGTAATTGCTCACCATCTGTTGAACAATACTCAGCCCGTTCCCAGCTAGCGATCCCGAAATACCAAGATCCCGCAATCCCAGAAGTGAGAGAGCTCCTTCCCAACCACCCCTCCTCTATACAGTGAGCATGATGTCCCATGATATGGAATATTTCATTGGCCAATTTGGGTCTGGTGCCTGGGCCGTGCTCCCACCGTGCTTCCTGTGCCCTTGCTCACAGGTAGAACACGGGGAGTTGGAGAGTCCTCGAAGTTCTCAGTAGCAGCTGACAACATCAGTGTGCTATCAGCATCCTTCTTATACCAAATCCAAAGCTAAATCCAAAACGCAGCACTCTTCTAGTTCCCAAAAAGGAATATTAACTCTATTTCAGCCCAAAACAGGACATACTTCATCCATTGCCAAAGATGAATATTGTATTAATGCCTTTCTAAGACTGTGGATCACAGAGAAAGCAAGAAGACACAGAATTTAGATCAAGTGGAGCTATTTAACACCTTCAGCAGTTACCTTCACATTTAAATGTCAAATTATATAAGGCTGGCATTTGGATGTAAAAATGTTCTCTTGCCACTTCTCCAAACAACAGGGAAGTTCCTGTAATTACAGGAGATTCGTTGGCTGGCTTGTCACCTGCAGTGATGCCAAACAGGAACAGGAACAGCCATCATGCATCTGTGACAGATCTGCATGCTGGTGAGTTCAGAAACAAAGTCTATACAAAGGAGGCAGTGTACTACAGTAATATAGTATGCTATGTTAATTATCATAACATTGCACAAATAATAAAAAAAGTAGTTTCAAAACTAATTCACTAGTCTTATCATGTGTACTTTTGTGACTTCAATGAATGACTTCTCTTTATTGAAAAGACGGAAAAAAAAACCCAACCAAAACACAACCAACCACCTTCTAGCTTCTCAGCCCTGACTTCCTGCATTATCAGTATACTGGCTAGGCCAGAAACAACATGATTCCTTGTCTCAGAGCTTGTACAGCAGCTAGTGAACTTTACAAATACTTAGCAGCTGACAGATATGAATTATGACACTAGTTCAGTGACTGTCACTGAGTAAGAATTAGGATTTCTGCTAAGTTCACAGAATCATAGAACCATTTAGGTTGGAAAAGACCCTTAAGATCATTGAGTCCAACCATTAACCTAGCACTGCCAAGTCCACCACTAAACCATGTCCCTAAGCACTACATCTACACATCTTTTAAATACCTCCAGGGATGGTGACTCAACCACTTCCCTGGGCAGCCTGCTCCAGTGCTTAATAACCTTTTCAGTGAATACATTTTTCCTAATGTCCAATCTAAACCTCCCCAACACAACCTGAGCCCATTGCCTCTCATCCCATCACTTGCTACTTGGGAGAAGAGACCGACACCCACCTCACCACAACCTCCTTTCAGGTAGTTGTAGAGAGCAGTAAGGTCTCCCCCTCAGCCTCCTTTTCTCCAGACTAAATAACCCCAGTTCCCTCAGCTGCTCCTTGTAAGACTTGTGCTCTAGATCCTTCACCAGCTTTGTTGCCCTTCTTTGAATGCACGTTTGACTTTAAAAGTTAAACCTTTTAAAGAAAATATTAGTCTTCCAAAGAAAATAACCTGCTCAAGGTGCTAAGACATTGCTTGGTTATCCAATAGCCAAAACCCCTACCATTCCAACATTACCGAATACATTTTCTACTGTTACTCCTTACTTTAAAAATGATGGAAAGGGCAGTACAGCCTAGAGCCCTAAAAACCTACATGAAAAGACTCCCACAGTAACTTCCCAGAAAGTCATTCTTGAAACCAATACTCCTTTTGAATCAGTATGAAATGGAAGGAGAGGACTAGGGTATGACCAAGAAAGGAAAGGTAATGTTACTCCATAGTAACATGGAGAGGAAGCTGTCAGGTCAGGAAAGAGTGAAATAGCTCCAATTTCTGACTCCCAAGAGCCACAGTGAGTCATAAGAAACCATAAATCCTCCTGGAAAATCTAGAGAAAAACAGCTGTTTTTCAGGATTTGAAAATGCTGCATCATGTATATTTAATCCAATCGAGAATCATGAAGACTGTCCTAGGAAATTAAGTTTTTAAACCTTTCTACTTATACAAATGCATGTTTGACAAGCCATGACAAAATCCAAAAACATATATATACTCTATTATACCTTTTCCATATTAATAACAAAATTAAAGAATTAAAAACACAGGATAACTTGTAAACCAACTGGCAAGATGCATAGGAATGGGGAAAAAACTCTCCATACTGTATAGATCTTCATGTACTAGACAGTCCCAAAGTCAGTCATGGATTCAGTTATGTATACAAGCTTAAACGTAAGTGGCAGCATTTTATTACTGCATATGTTTTTTCTTTTTAATAATCTGAGACTGCCTTAGCTCCTCAGTCCCATGAGCATATGGGCAAGATTCAGAAGGCAAAGAACAACCATCAGGATGATGAATGAAAAACCAACAGAGACGTGTTTTAAATGCTTCAGCTGAAAGGCGTCGTTTCACTTCAGGCTTAGTTTTCCTTGATGGTTTCTCTTTTCTCCAGTCACGAATATGAACTCTCCCATTTAGAACTAAGATTTAAAAACAAACAAAATGCCTGTTAATAGACAGCCGTGGGAATTATACTGGAAAAAAAAAATGCATAGTGACATTCCGTGAAGAAAATATATACTCTACAAATGGATCACTCAGGCAAAGCCAAATGTGCCATTTGTACAGAAAGAGAAAGAAGTACAAAACAAACCGAGATAACTGAGACACGGTCTAAAGAAAATTTGATTGATTTCCCTGTGAGATGTTTTACTGTGATGCTGAATAGTTCAAGGCATCTTTGTATCATCTTTGTAGAGGTTGGTTTGTTTTAAATATAGCAGTGAGGAACATTTAGACTAAAATCCTCTGAATTCAGATTGCAAGTCCTGACAAAGAAGTTTCAACTTCAAGAACTGTAATCCTTCCAGTGTTCAAAACTTTACAACTCCACACTTAAAATGTGATCACCAGCAAAAATCCAGTAAGAGCCTTCTACTACTTTCACTACACAGAAATGGTCTTGCAAAGACAACGGTTCACTGATGCAAAAATACATTGTACCAAAGAGGTGACAAGTCTAATCCTTCGCATTAATCAACAGTGAATTATCATTGATTAATGATGATTCAGCACTTTTTTTTTTTAAACTTCATTTGCTGCGTTAGGACCACAAATTGTGCACATATTTGTGAACCTCTGTCAACTCCTTAAATGTGTAAACAAAACAGAATAAAAGAAAGTTAGTAAGAGATAAAGAAAAAATATAGGTGAAAAACAAGAGTGAAAATGAGGAGATAATCTGCCACTTTGAAGATGCCATGCTATATTTTCAAATTCTGTATCAATCATACTTTCTGTATCACGCACTTGTAGCTTGGAATAGTTAAATGATACCATTCTGCATTCTGGTAATTGCTATTTGAAGGGTAGCAAGTCCAGTGAAAGCTTAAATATCACACCTTCAGACCTGGATGACATACTTCATCCCTCCAGGTTTCCTAGTGTTACACAGATAGATTGGAACTCATACAAAGCCAATCCAGAAGTGGGTTCAGCAGAGCTTTAAAGTCTCTCTCAAAAGATATAATAGTCATATAATAATCAATAGATATAATGCTATTTATGATGAAGCATATTTTTTTCTATAAAATCAGTTCTGTATTGGGACAAGATGCCAGATCAAAAGAAACTGCCACAGATGAGTTACTCTAAGCCCCTTCTTTTCTCTGTGTGTGTGCATCCATCCGTTTTCCACATCTTTAAAAGAAAAAGACTTCAGTAAAGATGACAAAAGAGCTGCAGGCATGTTCCCTATCCTATTTAGCATGAGCAATGTCCCTCTAACCACTCACTGATAAAAGCCCCATGTTATGATAACATGCTACTGAAGGATCAAATGGCCTCTACTGAAGCCCCAGGGAGTTTCCATGTGATGTAAATTACTGAGAAAGATCTGGCCTTAATCCTGGTCTTTCTTCAGAGGTAATGTGCAGACAGCATCCATGCTAAATTAAAACACTTGTTCCATGTAACAGGTCATTCCATGTAACCTATCCCTAATGACAGTGAATCAAATTCAGACACATAACAAATGCTGTGTGACCAACTCTTTTCAATGGATGATAATTTAAAAGTATTTCAGTATGACTTCACATTTTGTAATTGCCAAGTGTACAGAAATCCTTAGTGGATGCTAAACTTGGCTAAATTAACCATTGACAGCAACTAGGTTACATACTCAGGATTATTCGCTATGGATTAGTTGATCAACAATTTACAGCTAATGCAGAACTGTTGGAACACAAGAAGTTAACACACTTCCAAATCTGAAGTAGCCTTAATACTGATAAAACATTGAAGATCTTGTAGTACTGCAAAGCTGGACCTTACTTTTGCAAAAGTCCACACTGACAAAAAAAAAAAAAACAAAAAACAAACAAAAAAACAACAACAACAAAAAACAAACAAACAAACAAACCACACACAAAACACACCATCGCATTACAACAGGGAAAAAAAAAACTCAAAAAAACAAAAACCACCACCACAAACAAAAAACAACAAAACAAATGACAATGACAGACAATGACAGACAATGACAGAAACTTGCTACTGAGTTCTGCCATGCTACCACAGGCTACAAAGACACATCAAGCCACACAGTTAGAGGCTTTTACGGAGACTAGTTCTATTTTGTGTTGGCATTTACACTTTGGGGCTTGGTAAGGCCAGACTAAGTCTCGGTTAAATTCTTTAGTGAACTTGCTCTGAATTTGACAATCCCAAAATCATCAATACTTTATAGGAAAAAAAAAATTCTTTAAGTCAAATTAGCCACTTTAACTTCGCCTTTTCAGATACAGTTGCTCTAGAGCAACACTTTGCTGATAGATGCCTTACCAGTCTCATTCAAGAGAGTTTTACTAACAGTATCTTGGAGCAATAGGCACATAAAGAATATTCAGTTTTTCACACAGGTATAGAAAACAGTTTAAAATACCCACCACCATAGTAATTTTTCAGTTGAGTTTAACTGCATAAAGATGAGATAAAATAGATGATTAAAGAAAAACAAAACAAAAAAACAAAACACCATTTTTACCTTCAAATACTTGATGATTGTTCTTGAGCAGTGTCTGCAGGCCTCCATATTCACTCTTTAGCGTTTTTAAAGTCTCTTTATTTAAGTGTTCTGCTACTTCTTTCAAGGAAAGGCTTTCTGCAATAATGATGTAGCTATTAAAAATGTGTATTTATAAAATCCTAAGAAAATTTATGTTCCATAAGTTAATGATTTTGAGGAGAATCTATGAATTATCTACCAGTAGTGCAGCCAATCTGTACTCACAGTATCATACATGATATATATTTTATATGTATATTGTCTGTAAAACAGCAACTTTCATTCTACAGGACTCAAGTCAGAATTTCCACAGTAAGACACATTTTTTATTTTCCCTACTTTTTTTACAGCAGCATATAGCATTCATTGCAATAAGCACTGATTACATGCATGTAAGTAAAGAGAAGAGAGAATGACTCAAAGGATCTCCTGTAACAGTAACGTATGACAAACTACACTGAGAAAATAATAAAAACGGATGGAAGAAAATAGAAAGATGGTAGTAGTGAGAACTACCTGAATGCTTATAAAATTAACAGCAACTTCTATTCTTTTTCTTCCTCAGATTAAACTAAAAACTCCTAATCGTGTCATAACCAAATGGCACTTCAAAGCACTTCTTACACAATTCTTACAGAATTATAGCTAATTATTATGTGACTAACCAAAAAGAAATTTAATATTCTCCCCAAACAGATGTAGAGTGTTCTGTTTTGGTAAATGAGGAGGGGTTCTGGGTTTAGTTTGTTTGTTTGTTGTTTGTTTTTTTTTTTTTTTTTTTTTTTTTTAATAAAAATTAATTCTGTCATAGTCTTTAAGTGTAGAGGGAAAAAAACCCACACCAATTAAAAAATATTCTTATATGCCTTACTTGCATCCTAGTGTGCTATAAAACAGCAGAAAAAACCCCCTTTGATTGTTACTATAATGTTCTTGGTAATCCTTACAACCTTTCACTTACTAAATTTACAAACATGTAAATTCAATGGAAAAGACACCCTACACCAGCAAAAGTAAAGGATAATGTAAAGGAAAGACAAACTCACCTCCTTGATTCCAGGTATTCGTATTTCCATCATGCATATTTGAATATGATTTTTGAGGGGCTGCACTTAACAGTAAGTTTGCCACATTGAGAACCACATCATCTACAAAATCCCGAGGGAGGGAAGCACAATTTCTGATTTGTTCTACTTTTTCTCTGGGTTGAAATCCAGGCATCCAAGCTGTACCAGCAGTCTCGGTCTCACTTTCAGGTAGTTCTGAACCTGCTTCTTTGCATACACCAGAGTGATCCTTATGATTCAATCCAACTCTTCTGTTGTACGTGACTACAGCACAGGTCTGACGGTTATTAATATACTGTGTTATCTGCTTGTCGATCAGAGCACATTCAGTAGGTGGATAAGTCCTATTTTTTCCAATAAGGCTTACCTATTTCAGTAGAAACCAGTAAATCATTATTTATACAGTTCCATACTTAAACACAGTACCCCAAACTGCACGTCTTATCCAGGCTTCTAAATATACCTACAGAAGATATCCATTCAAACTCAATGCTCATTAAGATCTAAGGGTTTTTTAATTTTAGGTTTTCAATATTGGCATCACAGAAGAAATCCAATAATCAAACCATAATCCATCATGCCATACAAGCACAGAACAAAATGACTGCTCCCTGACCCTCAGATTATTTACAAAATTAAAGCTAGACACCTCTTCCTACTCTGAGAACAGCTCACTTTGAAATTCACGTGACATTAAAAACAGCAAAATTAAGTACAAATAAGCAACACAGGCAGCTGGAAAAATTAAGGCAAAAAATTAGTTTTATAAGTTTTCCATCCTATAGTGTTGCATCAGAAATAACTATAAAAGCCTCCATTCCTTCTTGCCTTTAGGATTGTACCTGTGACATTAAGAGCACAATACCCAAGAAGATAATGAGTATTTTAGCCTCTCTTCAGGGCATATTGTCTCAAGTAATGTGACTATAGTTTGATCTTACAACAATAATAATGAACATGCATTCATATCCTTCAGACAGCCAGCAGCTTTAAAAATAAAAAAAAAAAAAAAAAAAAAAAGCCCTACACAGTCCAAAATTACCCTTTTTGTTGATGGAATTCTAAGGCAATCTTCTTCCACATGAAAGCCGCATACAAATCCCACTTGGGCAACAAAATCAAGATATTCTCTGTACTGAGTTTTCTTGCTTTGTTTTCGGCAGTATTTTCCATGGAAATCAAAGAAGCAGCATGGCAGCACAAAGTAGCAACATGAATAGGAAGACCTACAAGGATACAAACTGCTGAATGGAAAGTTATTTCAGAAAACACACGAATTTAACAAATAGCCAATCAGATACAAGAACTAATGGAAAATTTTAATTAACGCGACAAAGCTTCATGAAATAATATTTATATGCTCCTCTTTCAGTAGATCTATTAGCATAATCAAAAATACTCTTCCACAAAGTATTTGCTATAGCAAATTACTGTGCCATTTCTGTTTGCAGGACTAAATCTCTAGATATTAAACTATTGTAGCTAGTTGTGAAGAACACAACAGTTCAAGGAAAGGCAAAACCAACAGCAATTTTATTTAAAAAAAAAACAACAGCAAAAAAAAAAAATCAGACAAGAGTTTCACATCTAAAGAATAAAAATCATTCTGGTTTTTGAACTCCAAAAGCAAAATGCTGTACTGAATTCTATGAGAAAGTAACTACATTTGTGCTTCTCCACAGGAAGAGCAACATTTTTTAAAAATAATCAGTTGACATCAAAAGCAACAAGTCCTACAAGGACAGCAGGTGTGGCTGCAAAAGTGACAGTTTTCATCAAGCCCACGTAGGTAATTATGTTTTGGTTTTGCTTTTTGTTTTCTTGTTTTTTAATTCCTTCCCTCTCACTCCTCTCCCTCTGCATATACCTAGCTGCAATTACAGGTATCCATGGTGTTAATTCATCTGAATGGTTTCCTATGAGCCAGTCAGTATCTGGAAAGAGTTGACTGTCACCTGGCACAATCGTAGATTCCTAAAAAAACAAACAATGCATTAAGTGAATTTTATTACAGGTTTCTTTAAATAAATTTTATTTGTTAATGAAGCACTAAGCAACAACATAAAATCACACAAGCTGACAAATACAGAGCGAATGAGAACCACAGACACAAATGTTTTCCTCAATCTGCACTTTTGCCAGGTAGTAATATTTTATAGCTACAGCCAAGTAACTTAGCAACAGCTACCCACAAAATAGTGGTCACACAAAGAGTGAAATAACAATTTTGATTAATGTATCTGGCACCCTAAATATTTGTAAACAGATACCATGCATTGGATTATGATTTCTTGCTGTTCTCCCTTTCTCACATGTATGTCTGGACTCAATTTTTCATAAAGCCACTTAATTTGCTATGTCTTACAGTCCTAGGACTCTCACAACAATTACTTAGGACACAGCTTCACCACTATCTTCTCTTCTTTCACAGTCTCTCCCCAAATCAAATCCTAATATACAGAACACCACTCTTCACACCCTAACATTCACGTATAATAAACCTAATCCAACCTAACACCTTTCCTCTTGCCTATGTTGCCATTCCATTCCCTTCCAAGTTGTGTCAGGACTACCTTATAATACATGCAAAATCAGGAACAAAAATATGAAACAACAGGCTAGAGAAAGAAGACTTCTTTGGGGGTCTTCAGAATAGTATTTTGCCTGATGGAAATTCAATATATATGGATTGAGAAGACATCAGCACAGAAGTCTTCCCACCACAATTCCGACTCACAGAATAATTGAGTCTCAAGAATATGCTATCCTGCTATTCTTTAAATGAAAGAAAAAAAAAAAAAAGGCAAAAAACAAACCCAACTACCAAATAGGATGAATTCTTCATACATGCTAAATTTTAAAAACTCTAGAGTGCCTTTAACGTTTGTCTCACACACACATTTTCTTACCTTGAACTAAGTTCAGAAAAGAAAGCCCTTAAAGATGTCAACACTACAGACATACAAACTCTTTTCTAAAAACATGTATGAATCTCAAAATCATTATTGGACTGATTTGAAAAAAAAGTTTTAAATTTGAATCTCCACAGACCTTTAGGAAAAGCCCTGAAAATGATGCTCACACTCTCTCTTTATATACAAAATGCATGTTTTATGAACTCAAAATTCACATGTATATGCACAGTATAGGAATTAAAAAAAAACAAATCACACTTATGAGGGAATTTCAGAAGTCTCAGACTATCTGTATCCCATTCCAATTCCCCTCTTCAGAAAGCGCTGTTAAGTGTTTTAAGTATCAGTATGGTATATATTATTTATATATGAGGTTCACCTCAAATACATTTCTGACCGTTTTTAGTTATGTATATACACTTCTAGATAATATATGTATCAAATTTCTTTTTGGCAGGTTAGTAGATGTTAAACCAAGTGTTTGATCAGTGTATTCTTATGGTTGATTAAACAAGTTACTCCTACATTACATTCCAGTTTTGATCTTTCAGTTTAGGCATAGCATGAATTACCAGTGCCACACTCCACATTTTGACAGTCACTCATAATCAAATTTGTATTCACCATGTCTGACAGCAGTTTGGTAATGCAGAGCACTACCTGCTACATTTATTTATATTGTTAGTATTGGCACTGAATGTCACAGATGGCAATATTCATCCTACAACTCATGCTTTAAGTAAAGATCAAAACAAAATTAGCTTTGAGGGTAACAAAAGGCTGTGAGCAGGTGCCTCCTCCTTCTGTGGCTCTTGTAGCAGTATCATTTCATCCCTCCTGTTCATTATGTAACTCCTTCCCACATATATGAGTACTTTCCTTATATGCATATATTAGGTATTTTTCTTGTTTCTGACTGGCTTTTTCAAATGTTCTCTGTGAATTCCTTTTCGTTTTCTTCTTTTAAGACAAATAAAACCAATCCTTTTCAATTTTGATCACTCATGCTACAGAGAGGAACGGGTGATGCTCAGAATCACTTTCAAGAATAAACTGCTCACAGCTTTTGATACTAGTATCTTTTATGAGGTACAGTGGTGCAAACAAAGCTGCTTAATATCAATCTTCCAGTAAAATCAAAAATTGTTTCATTGTGTGCATGTCTGTACATGCAGTAGGAAATCATGCTAGTATTCTCAGATGGAAAATAAGCAAGCTGAAAAATGTGAAAGTATGAAATACCACTGCTCTCATAATTCCATTTACAACTTATTTTATAGTCCAACAAGAGATATGGGCAGCATCAAACCAAAGCCATAGATCACTTTAGACAACTGTAATCTGGTATGCTTGACTACATTTGCATCAGCACAACTTGAAGCAATGAACAAAAGAATAAAGTTACAAATCAGCAAGATTGACATACATTTGTCTAATACCTCTAAATGAGTTTCTGGTCCATACATGTCCCATATTTTTCTTCTCCTCACATCAATTCCTCTACCTGAATGCTGAAATATTTTAACAACAAAAAGTATCATTTTTAAGTACTACTTTTAGCAGAAATTGTCAAACAGGTTCACTAAATATAAGTATTAACACTTATTATTTCATACATACTAAAATTTAGACACATAATGAAACACAGTTGCATAATTTCAGGCAGAAGCTGAATACTTTTAATTTCTTCTTTCCCTTCTAAATATGAAGGGAAAGACTAGGAAACATTAAGAATATATCTGAGTTGAAAGTTTACGTGGGCACACCTATTGAGACTGCACTTGAAAATCTGGATCTCTACAAAAGTAAAAGCATAACTATTGCTTTTTGTTTGTTTTTAAACTACCAAAAGCTTTCATAAGGCAAGTGTTACTGTAGCACCCACAGGGCTCAGAAAAGAGTGCTATTGTAAATACTCCTTGCTGAAGAATCACCTTTCAACTATTGAAGTCAATTAGACTGCTAGAGTTCAAACACAATTTTGCCTTTGTGAACTGACTGGAAGAGGAAAGAGGACAGGAAACTAACACAAGATATATAGAATGCTTAAGTAACAGTATCTTTAAGAATCCTGTGCAGAACTAACCCAAATTAATTACTAAAAAAAGTCTCATAAAACTCTCACACACATAATTTTTTGACAGTCAACAATGTTTGTCAGTGCTACATCAATGATGACCTGGTGATGTATGGAAAGAAACACCTACAGGGAAAATAGTATCAAATTCTTCTGGCCATACAAGGATAGAGAGCTTGTCTTTGGAGAACTTGGGACATTCTTCCCCCCCTCAATGCCATCTATTGATACAAGATATTAATTTTCTCTACAGATTTTACCATGTTCTCCTAAATGTGGAAAATACAATTTTCTGAAACACAGATGCAACTTCACTGGGTTTTGTTCAATCTCACTCACCTTTTTTTTGTTGTTGTTTCTGCAATTAAGCTTCAATAAATCAAATTTTGCTGTTGCTACCTTTTTACTCCCAAAAGCACAGTATGTTGTAAGGCATTTTCACAATTAACAAATCCCAGATTGTTTTTAAAGATATAGAAAAACATTTTCAGAACATGACAAGCAGAGTTCAATTTCAATAAAATTAATGAAAAACATCTTGTGAGAGAATCTCCATGATTCTAAGAATACCCATTCCTTTTTGCTTTGTCTACAGCATAACTAAATTACACCATTGCTTTTTATTTTCCATCTTGTTTTCTGACCTCAAAAAAAGTCTTGAATTGAAATGAACTGCACTAATAAAAATAAGTAAAAGGTTTCTGAAGCTTTGCTAGGATTTCTTCCTGATACAGTGACAAAATCCTATTTTAGCAACATGAATTAAGTGAATTTTGGCTATTTGCATGCCAGATAAAAGGAAAGCATAACAAGAATACTGACTATCGTTATTTTTAAATTATTACTGTAAAAAAGACTCTATTTACCCCTTCATTGTTTAGAATATGAACCAGTAGACCATTTCCGCATCCAAGATCTACAAATGACTGTTTCTTGGTCAACCCTTTTTCCTTTCTCTCTTCTTCCCAAAGAATCTAAGACATGAAAAGAAAACATTTTAGTCTTCCATTTTCAAAATTTCCCTGTAAGAAAGCAGTAAAGGTTATTGGAAATGAAAGGGAGAAGGCTGGGAAAGAATGTAGATGTAACAGAAGCCATTCACTGTACTCACAGAGAAAATAACTTGTGAGGAAAAAAAAAAAAAGACAACAAAAAAGCCACTAAAACTGTTTATTGAGAGGATCAGGAATTACGTTGCAAAATACCAAACATTTTCTATGTGCTAAGCACATCCTCCACCCCCTTCTGAGTCACTGGAAGTTGTATTAATCAAGACTATAGAACCCTGGCCCAGACTGGGCATAAACGTGAAATACGCTGCTAAAACAAAGGGTGCAAGAGATGAACAGAGGAAGCAAGGGGAGCGGCAAGTAAATTTCAGCAGCGTCTTTGCAGGTAACACCACGGAAACATTCATATCCACTGTATTAAAGAAAGAATTGGTGGCAGAGCTGAAAATAAAAAAATGTTCTTTGTTATCAGTTGGCTATATATTGGTATATGTAACATCACTTTCTACTGAACAAAGTGTGACTTACCTAGCAACAGTCAGCTGCCCCAAATGCTACATCATCTAAAGGAACCCCAAAGCTTTTAGCCCAATTCTAACCCCTGCTCTGTACATAGGTAGTTACTTTTACATAGTTAAGTAATTCATAATTAGTTAATAATTGGATATTTGTCTGCAGGGCAGGGATTAGTCTCCTTCTATCACTCTCACTTCTTCCTTCAATGAGAAGCTACAGTGCACACATTCATCAACTCTACACAATTATTTTTTACTATGACTAACAAAAATCCTCAAGAGTATTTAACCACAAAAAATTAATATTTGTAACATTGCTACTTGTTACAAATGGTTACTTGTCAATTTTGCTAGAGGGAAAGAAACTGCAGATAATCCATGAGATTACCAAACTGTGTTTACATTTTTAAATGTACCAATCATTGCACTTCTTCACCATAGGCTGTATCTCAGAAATCCCTAATCACCTCCTACAGAGATCACACTCATCCTTCATCCCCTGCTGAGTTTCTCATGAATAGCTACTTCTTTGGAAATGTGCCTAAACAGCAGGTGACCTTTAATGTGACTGCAGAATAAAATGAGGTAAAATGTAGATCCCATAAATCCATAAAAATTTAACACTGGACCTACCTTCTCTTAACCAGCTATTTAACCTACTTCTAAATAACGAGTGATTATATACCATCATATAGTGGTCTGAAAACTGTGGAAGGTTAGACTATTAATACCATACTTTAAGATTTCATCCATATAAGCCACCTTTTGGATAACTAGTAACTTTTTGAAAACTACTGCTATGTCACCTAGAAACACATCATCATTGTAAATGAACACTCACATGCATAAAAATTCTGTCATTCCAGAATTTTCTTGTGGCTACAACTAATTTGCTAGTTTTCAACATCTTGTATTATCACAGTGGTAACAATAGTAAAGAACAAGTCTATGATATAGCTCTTTCCGAAGTTAGTATCATAGATTAGAATAGTTCAGCTGAAGAGACCTACAACGATCACCTACTCCAACTGTCTGACCACTTCATCATGATCATTTCTCTGATGTAAAAAGTCCTGTCACACCAACATGACAATCAAAATTCTGAGAGTAGCCTAGGCCAGTCAGGCTTCCTCAGACAATGTTAAAAATCTTGATGGGAAAAGAAACTTGAGTTCTAAGTTTAAACAGTCAATTAACAAAATAAATTAGTGCTCTACAAATTCTGTACACGAGTTTACTTACGAATACTGATTTAGAGAAGACGCAAGAGGTATCTACATTATACTTCAAGGTAGACATGTTCTTGCTGCACTCTGGATAGCAATCAAAAGTATTTATGTGTCTACATAGTGACAAATTTTGATGCTGTTTAAAAACCCAGAGTTTTTCAGGTGGCAGAATTTTCATAGATTCTTAAGTAGGTAGGTGCCTTAGAAAACTTCACCAACCATTTATCTGCATTCCCAGCATCTTCAGTTGGCATCTGAAGATGGGATTTCAGCTGAACTTTTATCAGGGAAAGGCATAGAAGTGAAAAACCTTCAGCATAAAATTAAGAGGTAGAAATACGTATAAAACAATAGCTTCTAATCTTCAAATTGGTCCAGCTAACCACTATTTTTCTGCTACATCAGTGCTTTTCGCTTTATCACTTAAAAAAATCCAAGCCATCTTGTCTGTGTAGGTCAAATTTCCTGTGACAAAGGACTGCAAATTTTCATATCTTCACAAAGAAAGTTTAGTATCCCTCTAAGCTTAATTTTCATTGTTATTGTGATGATTTTTGTGGTATAAAGCAGTATGAAAAAAACAAATCAATTGATTCTTCCTTTGCTTTGTCACAATTTTTTTTTCCAATTCTGTTATAGGATGCCTACCTTCTGTAATCACTTATTATACATAAATCCCTGAAATGCTGTTGAGAGTACTACCATGAATATCAGAATACAAACACAACTTGAATAGAGTTGTAGGCAGGAATCCCACTTTCGGTTTAAGTTATGCTTGAAAACATTGTAGTAAGAACTCTCTGCTTAAATGAGAGAAAAAGCAAAAAAAAAAAAAAGGAAATACCCCAAAATGCAGAAAACCTATACAGCTTCTCCAACCTCCTTCCCTTTGCCTTGTATGCCTGTAATAACTTCAGGTCATTCTGTTTTAAAAAAAATGCAAGAACCATAAAATTAAAATACTGATTTTCTTCAGAGAGGTTCTATTATTAGGAAATAGAATATTATTATTAGGAAATAGAATATTAATATTGGGAAATAGAATATTATTAGGAAATAGAACCTTATAGAATATTATTAGGCAATGCAGTTCCCTACCAGCAGGTATGTGGCAATGGCAACATCTTCATAAACGAATTTCTCAGGATCTGTCACTTCAGGCCACACCTTCAAAGAAAAAAAAATTGAGAAAATTTTTTTTCTGCACCATCTGAAAAGACTTCAAAAAGTGCTCAGGGCAATCTGGATACTCATCCACTTCAACGGGTTTCTGCACATCACAAATTTTGCATTTCAATCTCATTAAAAATATATACAAACAATATAAATAAAGAGTATTTGACATTATGAGTCACACATAAGAATCACGGAGTAAAGAATGTCTGCTGTCACCCAATCAGTAAAGTTTCCAAGAACATTATGGCTCCATATGTGCAGGTTACAAGAAGTAAACTGCTGCATCTGTTCTATAACAGAGCATGCGTCCTTTCGCTTAACTCTCTCAGAGAAAAATGCTTATACTATTCCTGTTACGTGCAACATGAAAAACATGAGTATTTGTAAATTTATTTTCACAATGTAACAGGCACAGAATTATCATGAAGAATCAAAATTTGAAGTAGGAAGACAGAATATTTTCCCTATTTTGTAAATGAGGAATTGAAACAAAGATTAAAATGCTCAATGCTACACCAAGTCTACTACAGAGCTAAAGACTGAACCATTATTTTAACCACAAGTCCAATTTGCCTCTCACCTATATTTCTATTAGTAAAGAAATATCAACAGTAAATCCTATCAACTTTTTCACAATATGTATTACAAAAGCATTTACCAGTTTTTTGGCTTGTGGCTAGAGTCTGGTGTACAAGGATATAGGCATTACTTCATAGAGCAGCACTTCAGATCACAGAATCCTAGAATGGTTTGGGTTGGAAGGGACCTTAAAGATCATCTAGTTCCAACCCCACCTGCCACAGGCAGGGACACCTTCCACTAGACCAGGTTGCTCAAAGCCCCATCCAACCTGGCCTTGAACCCTTCCAGGGAGGGGGCAGCCACAGCTGCTCTGGGCAACCTGTGCCAGTGCCTCACCACTCTCACAGTGAATAATTTCTTCTTAATATCTAATCTAAATCTACCCTCTTTCAGTTTAAAACCATTACCCCTCATCCTATGACTTACCCTCCCTGATCAAGAGTCCCTCCTCACCTTTCCTGTAGGCCCCCTTTAAGTACTGGAAGGATACTATAACGTCTCCCTGGAGCCTTTTCTTCTCCAGGATGTACAACCCCGACTTGCTCAGCCTGTCCTCACAGGGGAGGTGCTCCAGCCCCCTGATCATCCTCGTGGTCTCCTCTGGACCCACTTGAGCAGGTCCATGTCCTTCTTATACTAGGGACCCCAGAGCTGGATAAAGTACTCCAGGTGGGGTCTCAGGACAGCAGAATAGAGGGGGAGAATCCCCTCCCTTGACCAGCTGGCCAAACTTCTCTTGATGCAGCCCAGGATATGGTTGACATTCTGGGCTGCAAGCACACATTGCTGGCCCATAGTCAGTTTTTCATCCATCAACACCCCCAAGTCCTTCTCTGCAGGGCTGATCTAAACCCACTGATCACTCAGCCTGTATTTGTCCTTGGGATTACCCCAACCCACGTGCAGGACCTTGTACTTGGCCTTGTTAAATTTCATGAGGTCTGCCCAGGCCCACCTCTCAAGCTTGTCCAGGTCCCTCTGGATGACATCCCTTTCCTCCAGCGTCTCAACTGCACCACACAGCTCGGTGTCATTGGCAAATTTGCTGAGGGTACACTCCATCCCACTGTCCATGTCACCAACAAAGATGTTAAACAGCACAAATACCAATACCAGCCCCTGAAGAACGCCACTTGTCACTGGTCTCCACTCGGACATCAAGCTGTTGACCATAACTCTTTAAGTGTGACCATCTAGCCAATTCCTTATCCCCCAAGTGGTCCACCCATCAAACCCATGTCTCTCCAGTTTAGAGACAAGGATGTCATGTGGGACACTGTCAAGTGCTTTGCACAAGTCCAGGTAGATGATGTCTGCTGCTCTTCCCTTATCCAGCAACACCGTAACCCCATCATAGAAATCCACCAAATCTGTCAGGCATGATTTGCCCTTAGTGAAGGTATGACCGCTGTCATCAATCACCTTATTTTCCATGTGCCCTAGCAGTTTCCAGAAGGATCCATTTCATGATCTTGTCAGTCACAGAGATGAGATTGACTCGCCTGTAGTTCCACAGGTCTTATTTATTTCCCTTTTTAAAAATAGGGGCTATGTTTCTCCTTTTTCACTCAGTGGGAACTTTGCCAGTCTGCCGTGACTTCTCAAATATGATGGATTGTGGCTTAGCCACTTCATCCACCAGTTCCCCAACCAGATTTAATTCTATCAGGGCTTTGGCCTTCCTAACCTGATCCCTGGCTATCCAGACAGTTTCTCTGTATTCCTCCCAAGCTACCTGTCCTTGCTTCCACCTTCTGTAATCTTCCTTTTTGTGCTTGAGCTTGCCCTGGAGCTCCTTGTTCATTCATGCAGGGCTCCTGTCAGTCTCATCTGACTTCCTCTTTGTTGAGATGTATCTCTCCTGATCTTGGACGAGGTGATCCTTGACCATTAACCACTTTCTTGGGCCCCGTCTTCCCTCTAGGGCTTTATCCCATGTTACTCTGCCAAGCAGATCCCTGAAGTGGACAAAGTCTGCTCTTTCGAAGTCCAGGGTAGCAAGCTTGGTGATCACTGCCATTTTTCAGGATCCCCGGGACAAAACGATGTTGCTATATTGCTCCTCTATTTCAGAGATTAATATAGCATCCAAAGTTAAGAAGAGCAAGAGGAAATTTAACCCATTTGCTAATCAGTGCTGTTTCCAGACTCCTTCAGGTTTTGGAGAAGGAGGTGTTTTATTTATGTCTTCTAGTGTGGATGACTTAGTATTTACATCCACTGACCTAACTCTTACTTCTTATCAGAAGAGATACATTCTGGAAAACACCTAACTCCTCCAGATATTTAGTGTGAATTTGGTTCCAAGTTTTGCTTTTCCAGTTTAGTTCTTCCAAATAATACATTGTTTTTTTCCCCACACACAGAGGAAAAAAACCCCAAATACAAAACCATAAAACATACACTTCAATTAAATTGCTTCTTTTATTAAAACAATAATTTAGTGAAAGAAGCAGTTTCACTAAAAACAACAAAAAATATAGGAAAGCATATTATCACTGCATTTTTTGCTAAACTTACCTTTACCATCTCTTTGTATTTTTCTTTAAGGTCTTGATAAACTTTGCTGTATTTTGCTACAGAGATGAGCGAGAGTGTACTTTTAAACTCACTGAGCTTTTGCTCCACAGACCATTTAGCCAGTTTGGACAAAAGTTCATTTCCAAGCCATGCTAGTTTGGGGTATGCAATTCCATCTGAAAACCAATCTTCTGGAAATGGAGCTAAAATAGACACAGACCTTAAAAAAGAAAATAAAAACTTTGAATAAATATAGTGTATTTTATTATTTCAACTACCTCAAAGAGAGACAGAGCAATGATTAAGTGGAGAAATTCAGCACATCAGAGGTGTAAAAGTAGACTGGAGAATAAGGAAATACACAAAATACACAAAACCAAATGGAAAATAAAACTGTGAAGTTACTGAATAATGAAATAGTGTCCTCTGAATTTTATTAGACTGCTCATTATCTGGCAATCAAAACACTGTACGTGTGGGTCCATGCTGCATTTAACAAAATGACTGAGGACTGCATACAATGAACAACCTTATTTAGCAAGATATCCAAACACTAACTAGTAAAAGTGGATTCATTAAATTAATGCAAACAACAGGAAAATATAAGTCGGCATATTTAATTATTTCATCATCTCTAACTTTATTCAGATTTCATTAGAGATATGCCCTCTGATGCTCAGGACCAAGTTGCAATGGTCTACATTTCAAGTACTGAAGCTCAGTTGGTTCACAGCCATTTTAATTTGACCTTCCACTTTCTAACACCCACAGAACCTGACCTCTCTCACAGGCATAGTTAGTTTCTCGTGATCAGAGTACACATACTTTTTCTAGACCATACACATGTACAGTCAACGTTTACATTCAAAGTTGAAACAGATTTGTTTTGGCTATTGTAGATGTTTCTTTTAACTAAAGGCTCTGCACTAACATCACACCACTGCTGTCATTTACTAATCAAGAAGGAAATTACACAAACCAAACTGCCTAGATACAAATACTAAAGCATGGTGTGATCCTTACAATAACTCAGGGTTTGCTTCCTCTCTCACTCCCAGCACTTACCATTCTTCATCTTTTATGTGTGTAAGTTGAATTTGATAAATATTGCACTTTTTAACCTGGTATTTTCCTTCACTGTTTTCCTCCAAAGGCAGAAAGGTCACAGTTCCATTGAAAACATCTGAAAAGATATGTAAACAGTGATATATTAACCAGGATGGTTTGCACCATGGAACATCACCAAAATAAATAAATATCTTTATTTATTCTTTATATCCTTCCTATAAAGTGATTCTAAAAGCATTTACTATATTCCTGATGGCATATGATATGTATGCATTACTTTATAAACCAGTTGCAAAAATCTTTTTAGTGATTGTTTATCCAGGGTGATTTCTTCAGAGTAACTTATTAAGTTCTCATTTTTGAAAATGATTTTTCAATTATCATCAAAACAAGCGTTCTAACTGCAAATGTTCAAACTAAGAATGTTATATTGCCTAAGTAATCAAATTTAAATGGCCTCCAAAATTTTGAGTGAGACTAGAAAGAACAATTAGCAATAGAGCAAACACCAAGTCTTGCTATCTTGGCCCATCCTTAGCCAACCCCTCAACATTTTTTTATTTTAAACATATTAATTAAAAAATATTATTCTCCTAGGCCTTTTCTTACAGATAGGCTCTCTAGACACAGCTCAGAAACATCTTCTCTTAGCATCAAAAGAAAAAATAAATTTAAACTGCAATATGTAATTTTTTTTGAAGGCATCAGAGTAAGAATCATAGGCCACAAGAGCATCTTAAGTCAGCTGTCCCCCATAAATGACTATAGGCCTTTTTGAATTGTAAATTTGCTTCTAGAATTCTGATTCTTTTCAAAATATTCCTACTGGAATTTAATCCACATCAACACGTTTTCCAAAATTTATCTCAGAAAAGTATCAACGTTTACCCTATAAAAATTTCTTTATATTAAGATTTACTCCAGCATATCACCATCATACAATGTAAAAAAAAAAAAAAAAAAAAAGAAATACAAACCACAAACAAGTTGAGCTTCATTTTTAAGCAATACTAAACAAAAAGTCAGCACAAACAGTTCAACTTGGCCAGGCAGGTGCCACAGCTGCCTGCTTTTTATTCATCAACATGCATTTTCAAAGGCCACCATCACTCCTTAAAAACCTGTGTAATCGGGTTTGCACAAGCAGCCTTTTTGTGTGGGCAGCTTACGACAGGACTTCACACGATGACAGTCCTTCTTGCCTCTTCTCTTTAAGGAACACAAAGAGATTAGTTATTTTCTGTACCCTTTCCTCAGGCACAGGGTGCTTGGCTTCCCTGAGTGCTTTTCCCACCTCAGCAGTACCTTATGCATAACACGTTAGCCCTTCCTTCCCCTACTATGCTTTCCTCAGGTTGAAGCAGTGGCTGTTGAAACCAGAGTCCTACAGGTGTTTGACCTCTATAATTTGTATTTCAACTGCTGACACTTCGGAGAGCAAGGACAACAACAACAGAAGATACAAGGTAAAATCTCAGCACACGGTAAGGACAAAAAAAGTCCACCGGCATTTCCCCAAGTTCGCAAAAGTGGCATCTGCCTCGTTTGCGAGGCAGTCTCGGGTGGGACTGGTCTGCGACAGAGGCAGCACCGGCAAAACGCCGCGCTCCGGCGGCGGAGCCCGGCCCGGCAGCCCGCCCGCCCTTCCCCCCGCCCCCCGAGCCGGGCAGCCGCTCACCTCGGACCGCCAGTTCCTTCCTCGGCGGGGCGGCCGGGCCGCCGGGCCGCCCGCGGGGCAGCAGCGTCCTCAGCACGGCGCCGAGGCCCGGCCCGCCCCAGGAGGCGAGGGGCGGCGGCAGACACCCACGCCCCGCCGGCAGCTGGCCGCGCACCTCCCTCCACAGCCGGCCCAGCTCCGCAGCCCCGGCTCGCCCCTCCCGCCCGCCGCCGCTCCCGCTCGCCTCCCCGAGCGGCACGGTCCCCTCCGCCTCGATGGCGGCGCCGCACAGCCGCCTGTTGACCACCTGCGGCTTCTCCAGCCAGACGCGCACCGCCGCCCAGAAGCCGTGAGGCAGCGCGCCGCCGCCATCTCGCACCGCCGCCCTCCCCACCACCCCCATGGCCTCCGCCTCCACGCAAGGGACCGGAGGCGGAGCCGCGTCGCAGGCTGCTGCCGTCAGTTCCCGAGGCGGGAACAGCCGCGGCTACAAGTGGGTGCCGCGTCCCTTCGTCCTAGGCCGGGGCTGTGGAGACCCCAGCGGGGCGGGCGGGGAGCGGCTCCTGCCAGTCCTCCTCGGGGGTTCCTGCTCGCCGCTGTCTGGGGCGCGAGGAGAAGCTGCTGCCGTGCCGTACCGCAGCTCAGAAACACCAGACACCCTCTGGGCCCAGAAGCAATGCAGGCCGGAGGGTGTTTTTTTACCGTGTTTATAGCTTTTGGTTGAGGAGGGTCAGTGTCGTTGTGACTGCGGCCACGGGCATCTCAGCGTGGAAACGCCTTTCTGAAAGCGACTGCAAACTGAGAACGCGGACTGACGGCCTGACAGACCTCCAGCTGCCCGACTCCTCAAGGAAACCAATCTAGGTACCTTTCTTGTAGTAAAAGTACGTTATGTAGGGTTTCGTTTGTGTGTTTTTTTTGTTTTTTTTTTTTTTTTTTCCTCTGAGCCCAGCCCTGAATTTAGATAGTTCGAATAGCAGTTGTGCGACGAAACTTCAGAGGACTTTTAAAGTGGTTTACTTTCCAGCCTGTAACGTCCCTGGTCTTGTCTTTCTCTGGGCAACTGCCATCACCATTTTTTTAAATTCTATTTTACAGCGGCTCTGTATTTGCAAGTAATGGCATTTCTGACAGAATAAGGGTACGATGTCGTTATTCTTGATGGCTAACAAGTGTCTGAGCTGTGTTATTGTTATGCAAGATAATTGACCGTAATACACTGCAAACTGAAATACTCCGTTGTGATTTGCATACTGCTGTTGTCCAATCGTGAATTTGAATTACTAGCAGCAGCACCTTCCACATAAAAATTTTTCAGTTAAGCATTTCTCAGTGAAACTGCAGCAGGTCTCAGCAAGTTGAAAATAATACGCGTTATTTTTTACTGCCACATCCACATGCAGATTTCAAAATGTCAGCCCATGGCTGAAATTAACACTGAGGTTATTATTTACGGCAGTCCTTTGTTAATTTCCTGCTGTAACTGCCTGTTTTGGTTTCCTAATTAGAAACTGTTTGCTTGGAACTAAATTGTATTAAAACATTGCGTGAAGACAGAAACTGCAATTTTTTGAGGTACAGGAACTTTTTCATGAATGCTTAGATTTTTCATTTGAGCAATCTCATTGATTTGCAATGTAAATCAAGTTAGATGCTATAACTGCAATATTTTGATGTTGTGTTTTTTTTTTTTTTTCAGTTTTGAGCCAGAAGCCTCAAACTTCTACCTGATTTTCCAGTTAGAAGAGTAATGTCTGTTTATTTGGCTTCAGGCTGAAATGCTCTTTATCAATGCCTTTTTTCATCCCCTTTCTTCTCGTTCCAAACCTGTTGCTCCATACTGGAACTGTACCTTCCTAGAACCAATTTGGAAGCCACACGCAGAAGTACTATCCTGCAGTCCTCTTCTCCTATGTCTGTACTGACCAGAACTATAAAATTGCCTCCATAAGAGGATTAGGTCAAAAGAAAAGAAATGTGGCAAGGATGATGAGGAAAAAAAGTTACGAAGAAATGAATGCCAAACTAGTAGTTTTTGTACTTTATTATGTTCATAGTCCGCACTGAGCCCTTGGCCAACCCTGGGCCTGGATGTCCTCCCAAGTATCTTTGAGAATTTCTTCTTCCAGACAGTCTCCTTGTTATAATGTGGCCAGCATCTGTTCCCCTGCCTGGTCATTTTTGCATATTAGAAACATAACAGATTTTTGTCATCTGCATGAAGTGACAGAAATTGCTGGGTGTGATACGAGCGAGTGGCACCAGAGGGCACTCCGACACTTGCTTCTGGAAGCAGGAGAGGCACAAGCCTTTACTCTTCGGGCCAGGTTGTAACACAGAGATTCCCCTTCTCTCCCAAACCAGTGTGTTTGTACCTACTGATAACGAAGTCCTGCTCGTTCAGTGACGTTTTGCAATTCACTTGTGCAACCCATATATACACAACAAAATGCCAGCAAACTTCATGGGTCCTTACTGCTTTTGATCACATGCACAAGAGTCTGAGGCCAACTCAGCACAGAAAAAATAACTGTATTCAGGAAAAAAATGTTTAGTGGGAAGACTGACTAAAAATGTTATAAGCCACTAAACAACATAAATGAAAATTTAAACTTAGTGAAGAGGGAAAAATGAAGTGTGGTTGTGAAGTTAATGCTCTGTATTGTTTAAAATTTATTCTTGAGTATGGCAGTATGACACTTGAGAGGCGCATACCTGTGTGCTTACAATTTTCCAAACCTGCGTTTTCCATGTAGAATAAATGCAGTATAGTGTTACGTGTTTTGTAGAAGTCACTACTGCAATAGTTTTATTTTACTTCATTTATGCAGGTTTCATCTGTATCTTTTACAGACCCATTGCAGACAGGGTATTCTGCTTGTCCATTTGCCTGTTCTATGCAAGTCAGTGTTAGTAATGGACAGCATGTTGGTATTGTTCTAGTTTCACAATTCTGAATGTTCACCATATCAAAGAAAGGGAATAGTATACAGGGCTGGACGTGTTTTATGTTTTCCCTGTGTAAAACCACCTATTTGTTGCTGCACCACACTTCTAATGGCCTGGGCAGATATGCCCAGGTAGCATAGTGCTCACATAGCCAAGTGGATCTGTGGGAGCCAGCCCAGTTCTGCGCAAGATTAAATCAGGCAAAGGAGAGGCAGATATGCAGAATTTTAGAAAAATTTGTTTCTTGCAATTGGGGTACATGAAATAAAAGTTTTATTACCCACTTACACTTTTATGTATTCAACCACTGGAAGATAATGGTAGAGTTTCTACCATTTACCTGATGTCCTCTTCTCGTGTTTATGCATGAACAATGGCTCATCACGTCAATTCTATAAAACCAGACCTTAACATATAACCAACATATCATTTAGTTAAACGTTGTTTAAATGTTAGCTAGTAATATGGAGGTAAAACAGACATCTCTTGCATTTGAACAGCACTTTGTATGCATGTATGGGTGTTTTTATATTTTATTATATTGCATTTAAGATAGAAATGAAGTAACAATTATTCACATTATGTTATTAAAGACATGTTATTTTCTTGCTTGATCTTTTATCTCATCCCGCCTTTCTTATTAGGCAATATTAATCAGTGGTGTCCCTGTTTCATATTTTGCTTATTTTAAAAGGTTTAGCTCATACTTTAATAACAAAGACCATGTAATTCATTTACATTTGATAAAAGGCATTATTTTTCTTATCTTATACCAAGCCAATTGACTTAGAAAAATGGAAAGGCAAGCTTTTAGTTGGCTCAGCACTGCTGTACTCATACATTTGAACAAGTCTGTGGATTTAATTCACAACCCTTTTGATTTATTTTTAGTATTAAAAATTAGACATCTGCGGTGCTTTGATTTGTGTCTTTTCTTGTTTTATGCAGTTAACTAACAATGGCATCCATACTGAATCTGAAAGAAGCCACTGACAACCAAAGTTCATGGGAAACTTTGCTACCAGATTTCCCTAAAGGACCGCTTTGCAAATATCGTAAGAAAGCTTCCTTTAACTGGAAGGAGATGGCAATGTTACTAGAAGGCAAAGATATCATCCAGCTTAAGGTAAGCTTTGCAAGAATTGTAAGCATCATTTAATTTTGGAGATATCAGTAGAAGTGAGATGTGATTTTCAGAGGGAGACTATTTACTTTAATAATACTTTGTAGACATAGAACATGAGCAAGCTGGTTTTGGACATCCACTTTTCAGAGCAGAACTGAACTTTTGAGGAAACTACTTTGCTGTCACATAAGGCTCATTTTGTTACTGAACATCAGTGCAGGGGACACCAGCAGGTGCTACGTTACAGAATTTCAGTGTTCATTTCAAACTGAGAAAGGACTATATTCTACAATATTTCTTTACTGTACTGTTTGCATTAAATCATATATCACATGGTTTTACAATGCACTTAAGCTGAGCTAAGTTTGTGCCACTGTCCAACACAGTATATCTGTCTTCCTTTGACTGGCATAATTTCCTACAATCTTCCGTGCTTGCATTAATGTTTATGTGGCATTGCAGTTGTACACATCTGCATGCCTACCTTGCTGAAAGCTAACCCTACCAAAAAAAGAGGCTAATTGCAGCACAAGTGATGGTGTGGTAATGCATTACTTGGAGATGTAGGAGGAGACAGAACTGCCTATTTTGAAGGTGGTATAGATTTACATGATTTAAGCTCATCTTGAACATTCGTCATAGTTATTAAAATCTTAGAAGGTAGATAAGAGGAATCAAAAATGCCTTACTCTTCATCTGACTGATACACTTAACAGCAGAGAAAAAATACAAGTGCTGTCTGTGTCTGGGGCAGTTTCAAAGCTGTGTGGGCAAATAGTGTTGCTTGTACAGAGAGAGGGAATGATCCTGCCTTTCAAAGAAAAGCACAGGAAATCTTCTGGTTTTCTTCCTTTTTACTGTGTTCTTTTTAAAAGATTTTGCCTAAGGCACTGCACTTTTTTTTTTTTCTAAATTCCATGAAAGACAACTAAGAAGATGAGGGTATCTTGAAGACACAGAGATCTGAAGTAAAAAAAATGCCATATTATATCATCTAATAATAAAAAAAAAATCCAAATTAAAACATTAAGATACACATGCCCCTATTGAACGGCTGCATGTGACGGTTCCATTCAATGGAGTACATTTCTACTTTCCTCTGGGATCAAAGCAGTTGTGATAACTTAATGGCTTTATCATTATGGCTTATTTCTAACTGAATGTAACCCCTGGAGTTTTACCTTTATCCTCAGATTGAGGGCCATTGCCCTTTGGATCCTGCCAGCAGCTTCATATAATGAAATACTGAAGCTGCTATAAAAAGCAAGTAAGTTTTACCATACTGTTCTCTTATATTCAGAGTGAATCAGTCCTACACTTACTACTTCGTGATAAAGGAGCTTTTATAAGATTTAGCTGCATGAACTGTATATATAATAGTCTGTTTAAATAGATATTTTTAATTCTCCGGAGTTTTGGCTTTATAAATTTACATCTTCCTATCAAATGGATGTAGTTTGAAGCCTAGTATTACCCTAGAAGAACATTAACTTGTTTTGTTAGTGCTTTTAGATTAATATTCTCATGTCAGGTTTTTTCCCCCTGAAGAATAGAATCTTCTCTGCTCTGGAAAGTGATCCTCTCTTTGCACATCATCCTGGAGAAGATCTGTGCCGTGAGAAATATCAGGAGCTGACATTCCTGCGCTGTAAAAGGCTCTTTGAGTATGAATTCCTTACTCAGCAAGAGATCATTGAGAACCCATTAAAGATACTTAATATGGCCCTCTGTATAGGAATGTATGATTGGTCTCCATGTTTCCAGTATTTCCTACATAGTGTTGTAAGTACAGTCCAAAAGGTATAGTGGTGTATATTTGAATTTAAGTGTCTTGTAATACTGCAATTCCATTGCTTTCTGCCTGTTTTATTAAAGATATCTTTTCCAAGTCCTTTGTTTTCAAAAATGAAGTTCATCTTCCCTGTTTAGAAGAATCAGAGATCCTTGTCATTAAGCCCTGTCTCCACTGAAATCCTGTCTGGAAAGTAAAAATGGAGCAGTACAGACAGGGCTACAGAAATATTTTGATGTCTACAATTCCACCTTCTTTTGTCCACTCCTCTGCCTACTCTCTAGGGCAGTAGCAGCCACAGACTTTGGTTGTTGAGCCCTGTTTGGTGGCTATGTCTTTGTTACAGATACAGGTATCAGAAACTTTCTTGCTTCACCCTCACTGTGTTGATTCAGGGCAGAATCCAGAAGGGACAGAGACCAGTGTAAAGTTTCTCACTGATGTCAGTGGCTGGGATTCTGTTCATCAGTTCTCCCTAGATGAGTCTCTCAGAAAGAATACTTGACATAGCTAGACAAATAATATTAGTTGAATTAATTTAGTACTACTATTCACATGGAAGGGGAGTGTCTGGAAATTATCGTTTTATTATTTGAATTTCCATCTAGAAAAACTGAAGGTACCTTTAAAAACAATGTTCTTGTCTGATCTTGAAGCAGCTACCTTCAGTTCCCAATTAATTTGCAATTAAACAAACTCTAATACTGTTAAAGTTTTACTTTACTGAAGGGGACATCAGTAAGGACAAGTGCTAAGTGAGCTCATTAAGCTTTTTTCAGAGTTTGCAGTGAAGGCTTGAACAGGTTAGAGCTGTGAAAATTTCAGTCCTTTGTAAAGAGCCCTTGACAATATCAAATCCTGACTTATCTCCTCCAGCTGTAGTCTAAGTAGGTGTTTCCTGTGCAGCCTACTTTCCCTGGTCCCTTTAATGGACATTACTATTACAAATTTTTATACGTGTATAATTTGTGCTTTCCATCTTGGGGTCACTGATTTAATTAATAATTTTCTGTTTTTACAGATATTTGCAGGTACGCTTTTGAGTGCTTCTAAGAGATTTGTAAATTTTTTGAAACAGACTTATAGCATGGAGGTAAATTTTTTTCTTTGATAATTTGTGAGAACCGGGCACTGTCAGAACCATGGCACTACCTGCATCCTTCTGTTATTTCAGATCTCTTTACTTACCTAGGTACTTGTAGGTAGCAAAAGAAAAGACCAGGGAGCAGATTGAAGCACTGAGCCCCGAGTGCCCTCGCTCCTAGCTATTACACCACTTCCTGGGTCTGTTTTAGACTGTCCAAGTTAACGTGCAGTTTGGTGACTTCTCTCAAAAGGCAGTATAGGTGGCACTACACCAGTTTTGTCTCCATCTGCAGTCCTTTAGGAGTATATCACGGCAACTTTTGCACACGGACACTCCCACCTTCCACATCTGCATCATCCACTGTGCAACACCTACCCTTCCCTGATGCTATATCTATTACATTCTGATGCTATAAAACGGCAAAAAATAATGTCTTAATGCCACAGAAACACCATGTGGAGTCCAGTGGAGACTCGGGACCAAATGGCCTGCAGAGTAAGTGCAGCCCTTTTGATACAGAAAGAGCCAATCCTAGACAGTTTCTCCCATCTGTGCCATTTGGCCAGGCGGGCAACATTCACTGTCTGGCCCGACCATACTTGATTTTGAGATACATGTGATCAGTGCACCCAAACTGAACTTCATGCTTCTTTTGCTATTCTTTATCACTTCTTATATTTTTTTTTCTTTTTTTGGTCAACCATTCACCTTCCTTGTTTATTTCATTTTCTGAAATTCTGTATTTATCTGCTCAGACAGTCATACACTGCTCCATGGTTCTGATTTGATGCCCCACGTTAAAGATCAGGATGAATTCTTTCAATGACTGTTAATCTACACAGAAGCATGAGGATATATATTTGTCAGAATAATTTTGCCTGAGACTTCAGGTTTATTTGTTTATTTGTATTCTCACTTAATTTTCAGAGGTTTTCTATTGAAGAGTATGTACGATAGGGCAAACCAGTCTAGGGTAAAGTATTCCAGTATGCACATTTCAGTGTGCCTTCAAGCAGGCAGTGTTTCCAAATGCTGCTGAGAACCATGTGTCTGATACAAAATTATTCCCTTCAATAACGTAGGCTATTTGCAATTTTGAAAATAAACAGCCTCATTCTGTTTTTCTCTTAACTTTGGGAGTTCCCAGAACTGCTTGTATACAAGCAGACTTGCCAATTTTCACCAAGTAATACTTCTTTCAACCCAGACAGCTGAAAACGTAGTGGATGTTATATAATATGTATATAATAATCTGTACCTGCCTGAATGAGTCAGGCATCAGCAAAGGGAAAAAGGACCTGTTACCCTAGTGCAGGCATGATGTCCTAGCCTTAGGGTTACATTTGATTGGTTTCTTGTAATTGCAAGTTATTTTCCAATAGCTGTGTTTGCAATCATTTAAAAATCTTACCATTTTAATTGCTGTAATAAAGTAGTCTTAAACTGTGTCTTATATCTCCTTATTTAGATTTTTGGATGTTTTGCTCTGACTGAACTCAGCCATGGAACTAATACCAAAGGCATACGGACTACTGCCACATTTGATCATAACACTCAGGTTAGTCCTTAATGTACAAGAAAAACGTTTGACACTGTTAGACTGTTACTTGCTAACAGGACAGAATGATTCAAGGATTTATTTGATTAAAAGGAAAGAATCAAGTTCAACCCCAAATGTAAAAAAAAAAAAAAAAGGTAAAATACTTATATTGGAGGGAAGTATTTCTGGGGACCCCTGGTTCAAGAAAACCAAAACAGACAAGCATGTCGCACTTCATGTGCTGTGGATGCCTCAGGTCAGAGACAGTGCTCTCTCCCCTTTTTTTATTTCTAAGAGAAAGAAATAGATTCCTACAAAGAATACAGTTAAGGGTTGATGTTGGGACTTCAACAGGTAAGCATGTTCCTACACAGCTTTCCAGTGTTTTCAAAACAAAAAGTCTTCTGCGTTAGTATTTTTGAGTACTGTAAATCAGTGCATTTAATACCCAGAATACTTTTTAAAAAGAGGAAAGTGATTCCATTCCAGCAGAACAAAATACAAGAAAGTGAAATGGTTGTCTATCAAATACCGATATTTACAAAAAATCCAGAAATTTCTGTTTTCTTGTACAAGTAGTTAATTTAGCTTCTGGCTGTGATATAAAATAAGGACAGCATCCTTCTCCTTTGTTGTGTCTTTTAAGGAATAGTTGGATGTGCTGATTAAATTGTCTTTTATCTTTAAAAAATATGAAGGTTTTATATACAACAATTAGGATTATTTCCTGACTATCGGGAAAAGAAATACGAAAAAGAGGTAACAATACTATTGAAGACACTGAAAGAACAAAAGAATAAACTGCTCTTTCCATTAAGATACTGCTTACTATTTATAATTTGTTTTCTGAAATAACACTGCTGCAGAAAGAAATTCATTGTCCTAACGTTTTTCTCAGTAAATGAATAGAACTCATTATAGTTTTACATTAAGGGAGAGGAAACTAGAAGTTAAGAGAAGAGGCTGGTAGAACTTTCTCGCTTTGTCATCTACATGCTTGGTTTATGCCACGTTGAATTTAAAACGTGTTATGTCCCAAGAAAGTAGGCTCATCATCTCCCCCAAAGACTGTGGCATTTTATTGCACTGTAATGTACAGAACTGGGTGCTATTACTGTCAACAAAAAATGTCTCTCATATTTGTACATCAAGAAGTGGTTTCAAAAGAATGAGAAATAAGAATCATAGAGCTGAAACATAAGATTTTATATTCTTCTGTAGGACAACATTCCAGTCTGAATTTTTTCATATACAAGCAATTCAGCGATCATTTATGTAACATGGACTGTCAGATCCCTTTCCAGAAAAACAACCTTGTGAATTTGACAGCATGAAAAGTTCCATTTAAATAAATTGAGTTTTAGGCTGGTGATGAGTGCACAGCAGTAAAAGTGACTGAAATGACTAAATCTTTGTTAAGATCTTGAGACTCTCAGTTCCGATTTCTTTTACATCCAGAAAACACACTATTTGGAATCTAAAAATCTGATTGCTGAAGAAATCTGATTGCTGAAGCTGTGCCTAATTTCAGGATATTTCATGTATTCTTCAGAATTCCCCCTACTCATGGTCCTCCAGTTGTCCAGACTGAGAAGCATGTGGCCTTTCACAGTCAACCAGGCTTCCTTTCCACACAAAACTGCGTAAGAAGGTGGTCCCTGCATAGATTTCAGCTTTCACAGCTGAAACAGTCGTCACAGTCCTTCACGTGGACTCACAGCTCAGCTTAATCTAAGATCTAGGAAGTGCTTCTGAGTCCATCACTTTGCTTTACATCTTTTAACTGCTTAAAAGAGCAATTAAAATGCTGAATTTCAGGCTTTGCAGTGAAGTAATTAATTTTTTCAGCTCTGTATTTTTCTTAACTACATGTATTCTCTCCGAAGTTGAACGCAGTGAGAGAGATTTCAGCAGTTGGAGTACAGAATTAAACCCTGGTAGTTAATGGACGTTTTCAAAATATTAACATTGTCATGAAAAAAAGAGAAAATAGCCATGTGTTGATTTTTATGATTTATATAATTTGCTCCTTTCTTTCCTGGCTACAGGAATTTGTCATAAATACTCCTGACTTTGAAGCTGCAAAGTTCTGGGTTGGTAATATGGGGAAACATGCCACCCATGCAGTTGTGTATGCCCAGCTCTACACTCCTGATGGACAGTGCCAAGGATTACATTCCTTTGTTGTACAGGTAGAGTAGAAATATTGCTAATCTTTTTTTTTTTTTTGTGAGAGGAGTGGGTTCAAATTAAAGACTTTCTATAATGCTGTTATTTATATCTGACCAGCAGATTCTTGAATTAGTGCCTTCAACATTTATTGCAATTGTAACAAGTGTACTGTTTTTAAATATTCACTGATTTTGTGATGGTTGTACAGCCAATTTTACACTGTCAGTTTTCTGCAAAGAGCTGAAAAGCCTCCAGATTACCACAGTACCTTTATAGTTAGAACTAAACTATACTGTATGAAGTCCTGAAAGTCTTGGATGAGGCATAACATGATTTATGTCTGCCAGTGCTGCAGGCTGATCTGTATGAAATCTGCAAGCTTCTACCACAGAGATCAGTTTATAAGGTTAAAGGCATCAGAAAATACGGCAATGCAGTAGAGAAGTTGTACATAGTAACATGAGCTAGTTGCACACTGAAGAGAATTTATTACAAAATTGTGAAATATCTCAAAGCTGATTGTTACATAAAAATTCCACTGATTTCTACTATGTCTGTGTACACCTGAAGAAGGTTTCAATGCTAGTCTGATGAGAGCAGTCATCAGTGTTAAGGCATATTTAATACAGTGATGTAATTAGTGTCATATTGCCAAAGTAATTTTCATTAAGGGATCTATGTCCTGAATGAGTGGATATGTAAGTACAAGGTATATCCAGGATTATGCGTTTGGAAAAAACAGAAAGCTTTCTTTAGTGTTAATAACAGAATAAAAATTGGGAATATTTTCACTGTTTGAAAAGTTCAACCCATGACTTTAATTGTTCCACAACTGAAATAATGTTTTGTTCCACTTATATGCAGATTCGAGACACAAAAACTCTTCTACCAATGCCAGGTGTGATGGTGGGTGACATAGGAAAGAAGATTGGGCAGAATGGGTTGGATAATGGGTAAGTCAATCCATCTGAAGAAGGAAACATTCTAGATTATATCACACTGTAGTGGTGTAAATATCCTCTTGTGTCAGTTCTGTCTTTATTTCTGAGGTATTTGCTAGTGGTTTTAAGTTGTTGGTATTTATAAAAAAAAAAAAAAAAAACAAAAACAAAACACAAAACCCAAAAAACCCCAAAAGAACAGATCGAAAAATCTCAAATTTCAGTATTTTCTATCTGAATAACCAAAGCTTTTCTGCTTCTCTCACTTTTTAGAATATGAAGTGCTACTGATACTCGGAATATCCCCAAGCCTTCTTGCAGTCATAGACTTTGCAACACTAATAATGAAAAAAAAAAAAAAAAAACAAATCCATTAAGTTCTGAGTAAAGAACTTAATCGGCCTCTCCACCCATCTGGGTGTAAGCCCTGAATTATTTTGTCCGTCAATTTCCAGCCCACAGGAGGGCTAATGGAGGTCCACAAATGAGGTTTATTGTTAGTAAAGATGTAGGATTAATGTGACCCAGTAGAGAAACTAGGGATCTTGTTTAAACCATGGGATTTCTGGACTAGTCCTGTTCACTGCAGAAGAAGAGAGGTTAGTGGTTTGGTTTTTTGTTTTTTTTTTTTTTGTATTCTCTGCGTACAGTTGAAGTAAAAAAGTACCTGGACTCCATTTCTGAGTCATGGACTTCAGTGTCTCTACTTTACTAACCAGAGGCATCTGATGGGGAGGAGACAGTGGGAGAATTGTGGTAGATTTCTGCATTAAAACAGCCATTATCTAAAAATTATGATTTAAGACCCTGTGTTAGTTACGTAGTTCTGTGTAAAGACAGAGACCTAAAATAGTAAAGCAGGGGGTGTCACTTCTTTATGCCTCAAATTTACCTCTGTCTGTTGATTCACTTCATTACAGATATATGTATTGCTCTTCATGACATGCCATTGCAGTAAACAAAGTATAGATATCCCAAGTTATTCTGCTTTTAAGCGTAATGGCTTTGACTGGCTTTCCAGAAGGCTATAGGTCTTCTGTAGTTTGTTTGTACTAGTCTCCTTCTGATGTCCCAAATAGCCTGTAGTGGCAAAAATAGCACTGTTTTATGTTTATGTAGCTCATTCTCATTGATGGTGTGTTGCTTAAAGACACAGACAGAATAAATAAATAAATAAACAAATAAATAAATAAACATAGAAAATTTTTACAGAGGAAAAATGTGACAAAAAGCCTGGAAAAGAAGGGGATTTGGGTTTTGATGGGTATTTTTGCCTGCATCTGCATTACTAACTAGTAGCCACCAGATGGCACAGCAAAATGGGCCTGAGCAATCCAAATGTAATTCAGCTTCATATTTCTGTAGAAATCTTGAAATTCTCATTCTTAATTTGCAGCATAGTTTTATGCAACAAGAGAAAGAATAAGAGTGTGCCTGTTACATAACGTCAAAATGCACATAATTCTCATACCCATTTATCCTTTGATCTATTGGGGAAAAAACAGAGCATTTCTTAAAGTACCGGTAATATCTGAATAATCTGAGATGATAATCCACATAATATGCTATAAATAGGACATACCAGTGACTTTGTATCTTAATATCAGATGAAGTCCCTTATTTTAGTGATGACATCACATGTAATTTAAAGCAATCATAAGGCATTCTAATCTTTCTGTTTACTTTGCATATGCTGCTTTAAAAAAAAAATATTCTGCTGACAGCAGTGCCTGAGGAGCCGCAATCATGGATCTAGACAGTCCCTGCACTACAAAGCTTAAGACAGCACCTGCAGATTAAGATGGAGGAGGGAGGGAGCCCAAGGTTACTGACAGATACTCTTCATGCAGCTGAAAACTCTAGGAGCCTGTGCTCCTGATTTAACTCAGCTATTTTCATTGAAGAGGTCTGAGGCTAGATGCCAACCTTGTTCACAAGAACTAGAAAACTAGTTTTCACTTTGCAACCTTTCTGCTCACACTGGGCTGTCAGAAATGTCTGGACTTGTACACATTGCTTCTCAGAGGCACACGAAGGCCTGGATGGGGACTGAAGACATAGTAGCTTTATAGCTCTGCATTTGTTTATAGAGACAACAAGCTGTGCCATCCTAGAAAATAGACTGTTGGCTGCATGATCTGCAAAATGCTGAGATTCACAGGGAGACATTTCACAAGACACTGCCCTGTCAGGGTGTCCTCCTGATCAGTTTATTATGTCCTCCTGAGCAGTTTAATAATCTTAGGTCTGAGTTTATCCCAGAGAAAGCACACCCTGCAGTATAGAAGCCTGCTGTATGTGGTGATAAGAAAATATTCCGTTATGCTGTGACTGCAAGTGTTAGTCTCTACTGCATGCTTTGCCAGTTTTTTGAATAAATGTGTGAAGTCTGGTTCAACTACCATAGACACTTAGTAAAGTAGATATATTTCCATGTAATTACACTCAGGATAGATGATCAGAGTGAAGATCAGAATCTGATATCTCTGGGAAAGATGTCAGATGTTGTTCCTGTACTTCAAGAAGTTTATGCTACTAATTTTCAATATGGGTACGGAGAGTTAAGCTCCTGAACACCTATGGAGGACATGGGGAAGAAATTTCAGAGCTACCTTGGAAAATGCCATTGATTTATGCTATGTAAGAGAACAGAGTAGGTGACTGTATTTGTCCCTTTTGAATTTGAAAAACAATTAATATTTTGGGTCATTTGGCTGAAGGCTGGTTTCCTGCTAATGCAGAGTGTAATGTTTTCAGTAAAAGAAGGAATTTCTGAAGTAGTGTGGGAATTTTTGCAGTGTAAATCCAATTGATTAGTCTATTCCTTCCAATTCTGTCTTTCAAAATAATTCTCACAGTTTCATAATTAGAATGTCCAAAAATCAGATGGGTTTTGCAAGTCTTTGTAACTTCAACTATCCTGACAAAAAAGACAAAATCACTTTAAAATATTTTAAAGTATTTTTCTTTCTCTCTGTTATTTACAACAATTCCTGTAATCAATACATAAGTGGTTAAAAATAGAACTCCAATTTTTCTTACGGAGAGATTAGACTGGTTTTTTGTTTTGTTACAAAAAAATAAATCAAGACTGCCACCAGGGGATGCAAGTGCTTCAGTCTTTGTCATATAATAATGTTCACCTGTTGCTAGTGCTCTGGCAGTCTTTGAAATCTGCTGTTCACAGTGGTCCCAAAATGGAAGTAGCTGAGGAACAAAACAACCACTGGAAAAACTCAGGGTATTTGGGATCCAGGGGCTTTTCTGTAAAATGCATGGCAGGCATAAGAGGAGAGACATAAAGCGAGAGCTTGAGTGTGTGCTGATGTGCATTTCTGTTTCTTCCTTTGGGGTTTTTTTTTTGGTCTACCTTGGCTAATGTAACATTACCAAAATTAGCCATTACTGCAGTGCACGTCAGTAAATGGTTGACACTGAACTGGTGGTGAACCAATTTCATGTCCAGTTGCAACTAGCAGCAAATTGCTGCTTTCCCCAGTCCAGAACTGGAAATGATGCTCAACTGAAACTGCACGGTGGAGTCTGAAAATCAGTTATCATTGTGTTTCTGAAATGGTGTTTAACATGCCTGTCTATGTAAAACATGTTCGGAGCTCGGTCAGCTGTATCCACTGATAATGTATATACAGTTGTTGAGCAGACAAAAGCTATGCTAAGGGACGAACTAGTGAAATGAAGACATCAAGGATATAGCAAACCACTGCCAGATAGAAAGCTATTTATTTTAACTGAATCCTGTGTAGGGGAGAAGAGGGTATTTCTGGGGGAAGAATTGTTAACTGTATCTAATTAAAATTAATAATGGACTTCAGAAAATTGAAATATTTTATTAGCCATTTAATGGCCTTTCATGTACAATTAAAATGTTATCAGTCTCTCCACACATACAACACACTAAGACATTCAGCATGCTCTCTAACAATCACTGAGGCCAGATTCAGTTTTCTGGATACCAAAACCAAAACTGAACACCCAAGAGAAAATGAGTAAAGAAGATTTATTGGGCAGAAAAGCAATAAATGGTGTAAAAGAATCCCTCCTGGAAAGAGACTGCGGGTTCTGAAAGCCCTCACTACAATTCCTTGTGTATTGGCAAAGATGGCATACATCACACAACCTCCAAGCCTTTACAGATGACTTCTAAATGGTAGATTAATATTTTTTTTCTTTGTTACTATTTCAGTAACAGTGCCAATAATACATTAAGATTCTGCTACTGCTAGTTTAAGGGCAGAACAAATGAAAGTCTAGTCTTTCAAACCGTTTTTGTCTCCTACTATTTATCCTCTTAACTCTTATTTAGATTTTGCAATGGTTGCAGTTATTTTGCTCAGAAGATAGAAGCTGTAATACATGGTTGAAGCCTAAATAGTTTTTGGAGCTTCATCTTACAGTCTGAAGCAGGAGTTTGGTGAAGATAATTTCCATACTCGGTTTCTTTGGTTGTTTGCTTCTACTCCCACACTGCCTTTTTCTTTATGCTGGCACAAACATTTATGTAGCTGTGTAGAGGACTCAACTAGGGAACTGGAACTGCCTGAAAACTAATCCAACAAAAAAACCCCCACGGTTTGGCTGTCTTCAACCAGATCGTTTGTCAGGTCTGGTTCACTGCAAGATCACAGAAGAGGCTGTTTCAGTACAGGGAAAGGGACAGCTGAGGGATGTGAATAAGAGTGCAAGTGTAGAAATCAATCCTGCTTCTCAAATAAACAATGTTATGCTTGTTTAATGTTTTTATTGCCTTGCAGCCTCTGACCCATCACAAACAACTGCAATAGTAATGGAGCAGCTGTAAAATAAAGATAAATGTTAAAGATGCCTATACCTGCATTTATGTTACTTGACTACAGTACCATCAGTACTTTGATCCTTGTGAACAGTGCCACTTTCACAGTTAAACCAAATATTTTGCAAGACACATATTGCATATTTGCAGTTTAAAACAAAACAGTGATTTTTGCAGTGGAATAATTGGTATTTCTCTGTTTTGCACTCTCCACTTAATTTCTACAGTCAAGATTAGCCACAATATGGGTACACAGAGTGTTGTGCACATTGCTAAGATGTAGTCATGTTGCTGAAGTGTGCTGCCTTATCCCCTCATTTTTGTCATCTAGATGTACCTCAAAACTGTGTAGCTGTAGAGCTCACACTGACAGGCACTTCTTGGTGCTAATGGGAAAATGTGGATTCAGATGTGGTCATGCATTTGTTGTGACCCACAGAAATACAGCCTCACATCTACAGTGGACTTCAAACAACCATTTTTCTTCCTCAGCAGAGCTCTGTCAGCTCTTGACAATTGCAGGAGTCTGTACATCCAGAACTCCTTGCAAGGCTGGCACTTAGAGTGTAAGAAATTTAGGGTGAGTGGGTCTTTGTGTGTCCGTGAAGTCCATTAAGATAGGATTAGGAGGCCTGTAAAATGCCATGTTGTTTTATCATTGTTATTGAGCATTACTGTTACAGAGCTGCATTCTTAGATTAGAGCCTTGACTGTAGGAACTAGAGCTAAAATATTGCCTTGCAGTTTTCCCCAGCTTCCCTGTAACTATTCTCAACTGTAACCTTTCTGTGAGTTTCAGTCTGGAATATGTGGCTGTTTTCTTTCCTCCTGCAAGTTTTTCACCAGACCTCTGAAGTGTTATTCTTCCCAAGGTTTACTGTATCCCATAAACAGCCGTGAGATCACTTGACTCACAGCCTTCCAATACCATTCACCTGCTTTCTGTTTCTGGCTGGAAGGATTGAAGGAACTGTCACTGCACCATCTCTGAAGTAGTCAATAACAAAAGCTGGCAGGAAAGGCATTTTAGTGAGTCTGAAATGCACCAAAGCATGTTTGAGCTATTTGTACTATAGGTAACAGCTTATTAATTTAGTACTGGCAAAAGGAGCTCGTAGCTTTTCCAGCTGCTCCTTTTTTTATCAGCATTACTGCACACCAGATGAATTACTATTGCATGATTTAAAGTCAGTAAGATTAATTTTGCTTGAAATGTTCCCTAAACTACTGGCCAAAGAACTCAAACAAGAATGCTGCTATTGGAATAGCTCTTCACTCTGCTCAGCTAATCTAGGTAGAAATCTGTGATACAGGGTTTTTTTACCCGTGGGCTACAAGATGCAAAATTGCACATTGCTGCAGAGCCCTATGATATATATTTAAAGTGACAGCTATCTGTCTTTCTTGCTGAGAGGTCTTAATTTCAGTCACACAGTTTGCTATGCAGAAGAGGCCTTAAGTAGGGTAGCTTTCAAACCTATGGTCTTGTCATCACCATGTGAAATTCAACAATTTTCCAAACTTGCTGGTACATGATATCCCCATGACTGTGTCTACAGTTCCATTATTGTAAGATATTTCTTCAGTTCTTTAAGGAGATTTTTTCCCTAAACGTGTTGACAGATGTGGACGACGTCTATTCACTATGTTTTCTAACCTAAAAACCATTAAAAATGTGATATTTGACTTAATTAAATCTTACTATTTATTTTTAGTATGTTCCAATATCAAGTTCAAATTGGCCAGTATGTCTAACAATTTCAATAGCAAAGTTCTTGGAGAAGGAGCATAACAGCAGTTGTCAATGATCTCACAAGGTTGCCTAACTCCCAAGTCCTGTAAGGTTCTGGTTTTATTTTCAACACTGGTGCTTATAGGCAATATATCTTATTTCTTTAGGCATGGGAATTCTCTGTGTGATTTTTAATTGCAAGTTCTGTCTCTCTCTTCTGCTTTTTAAAGCTTTTGCTATCTTACACATGTCTATTTTGATTACAGCTTACAGAAAAAGAAGGAAATAATATATCTTTAATGGACAGTATCGAGGGAAAAAATCTAAACTTTCAAAAACTTATTTGAACTAATTTTGATTTTATGAAAATAGATCATTAATGATTGGATATTTAGTTCACTAGCTGTGAAAAAGGTGATTATGAGAAGGGTATATGTATGGGTTTTAATCAAAATAATTCTAGTTAATCTTTTATGTGGTACAGAATGAGCTACATTGTATTTATGTCAGACAGGTTATAATAAAACTTTCTACAAGATTTTTCACTTTTTCCAACAAAAGATTTCCTCTAAATTTAACTATTTGGGATTGTATCACAACATGTGAAAGTGGATAAAACTGTTTAGGTTATTTTGGGAGCTGTTTTGTTTGGCATGTATCTGCCACACGTTCAATATTAGTAGGCTTGAATTTCCTAAAAGTAGGTTATTAGTATATAGATTTTTATATTACTAGGTTGGAATTTGCTTTTTAAGAACTCTAGAGTTTCAAGCACTTATCAATATAAATAATTTTCTGAAACTGCTCAGTTTTGCTGAATTAATTGAACTAATCACTACAGTATAAAACATAAGAGGACAATTTGCCATCTTGTTCATTGTCATTACTGCCACGAATCTTACTGTTCATCACACACGGAACTAAACATGCTCCAAATATGTATTTGCAAAGAGAAGGCCCAAGAGCTGCAGCCCTTTGAAATTTCATCCTAATCTGTGCCCCAAAGATTGTAGCATCTCTCTGTTGTGTCAGCTCTTCCTTTAGTCTGGTTTATGATTCCAGTTTTTATCACCCATTCAGTAGCTTTTTAAAAATAATATTTCATTGCTTTCTTCCATGCATCTTTTCCTGCTTGGCAGGGATCTTTTATAATCCATGAAGCTCCTGTATTTTCATCACTCGGATTCCTCCTTAAAATTCTCATTTGCTCTAATGACTTATTAAAAAATGCCAATGCTTAGCTGCCAATGCGCTGTGATTGGCAGGTGTCATATCAAGAAAGTATTCTTCGGTAGTTAGTGTCTGCCTCACCGTTTGTTTGAACACATTTGTAGTTTCTTGCCTTATGCTTGGATTGTAAGCTCCTAGGAGGAAGCACCTTCTTGTTCTATGGATGTACAGTAACAAGGAAAAGAGAGTGCTAAACTAGGGACCTAAACCTTGCCATACACACTCTCCTGTAGTTCAGGTAATGAGTTATAATAATTAAAAAGCTCAAGTTCTGTCTAACATGCATACTATTGCTTAAAAGTATTGAGAGTTTCTATACAGTTTTAGTTGTGATGGATTTTATTTGGGATATAAGGAGCGTGAATTTAACCAAATAAATGTGAATTTAACCAAAAGATCTTTTTTGAATGAGATTTTTTTTTTTTTTCAGTGATATGCAAAAAATATTAACAAAGATAGAAATCAGATTTTTGGAAATTCTGAATTTGCTTCTGTTACAGAGTAGTGTTGTCTCACTGAAACTGGCTCTTAATAAAGCACTTTTTAACATTGTTAAAGCCAGTAAGCAGCTGGTTCCTGGTCAGGATAGCATGGTTTTCTCTGTGGCTAAGTCCAAAAATACCGTGTATCTCTAAGGCTGAATAAATTCAGTATGCAGATATGTTTCCTTGGAAACAACTCGTAATTTTAAAGCACATGCAGCAATGCAGCCCTTATGTAATTTATTAATGTGAAAGACCTGGCTCTCGTGAGCCTTATTAAATAGATCAGCCTGTATTGGCAGGAAAAAGGAATTTGCTTTGATTACAAATACAGCTTTTCAAGTGCTGTTAGATACTGAGATATTCATGAGTGGAGCTGATATTACCGCTATTGTGCCAAGTTGTATTGCCCATTTGGGTGAAACAGTTCATACGCTTTCTTCCTGAAGAGTATGAATACTCAGGACACTCTGCCTATTCTAACAACTTCTTTCTTTAACACTGCTAGGGTGCCACAATTTAGAAAATGTTACCTTGCTCTTCCTTTTAAAGATGCCACATTCCAGGGAACAGAAATCCCAGTTTGAGTTTAAACAAAGGAAAATTCTCCATTCATTTCCTTCTCAGGGCACTATTTCAGCTATGTCCTCATTTGTATTGCAATAACATGAATGATCCTCACAGATCTATATTTTAAACTCGTAAAAATATGTCTCTATTCCAAAGCAGTCTCCAGATTGGACCAAACAACATTTCAGTAAAGGACATGGTTCAGCAGGATTGTTTGTGGCAGGGAATTATTAGGGGTCAGAATGGCATAGTCAGGTTCTAAGCAGGAGAAGGAAGTTGTTAATCTTCCCAAGCTTTTTGATAGCTGAGATATCAAGCTAAGTAATTTGTCTAAACTCGTGCAGACTGATAATTCAGTGCAAGTTTCTGAGCTGTTGGTGAAAGCGTCTGTCAAACTACCTCTGTATAAGGTCTCCAGTAATTTTACCTATCCCTCCCCTCAAACAGAATACATTGCTTACCCTCCCATTAGTTGGCTTACTTCTTTACTTATGAAGCTGCTGAAATGGTCTGGAGTCGTTGAGGTGTTTGTCTTGGTTTTGTAAGCGTCATCTTTTTTAAAAAAACAAACTGAAGAGTAATAACAAATAATTTCCCATCTTGAATTTCCTCTGCTGCTCTGAGCCTTTGTTCTCCCAGTCATACTCTCCTAAAATTACCTACCTGCCTTGATGGACACTGTTTTCAATTTACTGATATGCCTGAGTTCATGGTGCAATTCTGTCTTTGTTGTGAACTTTTTTCTGTAATGTAGACACCTCAGACTATGTCAAGGTAGATTTTACATTGCTTGTGTATTTGTTTAAACAGATTTGCCATGTTCCACAATGTCAGGATACCTAAAGAAAACATACTGAATATAACTGGAGATGTCACAGCTGAGGGGAAGTACTCAAGTTCAGTCAAGGTATCCATCAAGGTTTTGTTTCATTAATACAGTTTATTAAATATACAGAGGTGTAAGTAGTTAAGAGATGGAGCATGGGCCTCTCATACTGGGAAGTACCTGGACTGAAATAAGGCTGCTGACAATTTCAAATGAGATAGTCAGAATGCTGTTTTTTAAATTGTCTTTCTCAACTCACCTTACTGATTTTACTGACTTACTTTTCTCTGCGGTACCCCACTGATCCCAAAGTAGTTTAGAGAAACTGCTTTGTGTCTTGCCTGAGCACCTTATCTGAATGTGTCAAGAAAAAATTGGCCAATCCTCCGGGCTTCTGATCATGCTACCAGAGTTATCTTTGCAGGGGATGTAAATGAAATGTTAGCCTCACCATTCAGTCTGTGCCTTTTATTCATTCAGGATGTTAAAGAGCGTTTTAGTGCAGCTCTGGGAAACTTGTCCACTGGCAGAATTATGATCACAGCAGTTTCCACGACCAATTTAAAGCTTGCCTTAACAATAGCCATTCGGTTCTCAGCAGTTCGGCATCAGTTTGGACCAACTGATGATGAAGAAATACCTGTTCTTGAATACCAAACACAGGTAAATACTTTGTAAATCACATCTACAGACTTTCATATAATGAAACTCAGATTCAGATCTATTGCCAATCAAAATAGCAGTACTGTACATCAGTGAATTTAAAGTTGTCTGTATCATCTGAAGTGTCATTCTAATGCAGCTGTGGTGGTTCAGTACAAATCAAGACCTCCTCCTGGCATGATCAGACTTTTGACATGAGTTTTTGGAATAGAAAATCCCAAATATTCATGTTTCTTTGAAGCATGTAGAAACATTTGTCTTGTAAAATAGTAATCTTTTCAGAGAAAAACTGCCTCCTATGCAGGTATGAACATACTGCCAGTGTAGAAATTAGTATTTGTTTAAAAATATCAGTGCCTCTTGCTGGTAATTTTTGCTCTTTTAGCCTTTATAAAGCTTTAAAAGTATAGAAATCAACAATATTCATTGTGGTGAGGTCTCAAGCTAGCACTAATTTTGAGAGGAATATAACCAGTGTTTTTCTGCAGATTATGTTTTTGCTCTAAAAAAATAGAACAAAAGTATGCAGGGTAATTGGGAAGTAGAGAAAACCCAGATCTGCTGAATGAAAAATGTTAATATGTAAGAAGTGCTGAAATCAAACCTGCCCAGTTTGTTCTTGCAAAGTGGGTTCTTTTTTTCAGGTTTGCACTTAGTCTTTTAACTTCAAAAGATTTCATGGGTATTTACAAACTGGCAAAAGCTTCCTTCTTTCTGCCTCTTCTGAATAAGCCAGGATCTGCTTCCCACTATTCTTTGCGTCTCTCAATTTTTCTCAGTTTTCGCTTGTTCTGTGGGCTCTGCTTGCCGAATCTCTCATTCCCCTCTTGCTCTACCACAAAAGTTTCCTCAAGCAGTTTCTCTTTTCCTTCATGGGCTCTGAGTTCCGTGGAGCGGCAAAGATGCTTTTTTCTCTGTTTCCCAGCCCCGTTTTCTTTTTTCCACAGAGTGCAGCCAGCACTAACGTACATTCAGCAATGAACAAGCAAGTGAAACAGATACAACCTCTGTCATGTTGGTACTGAAGAAACACATGAATCATGACTGGCCCCAGCATGCCAGACATTGTATAAACAGAGGGCAAAAATATGTTGTTGGTCCCCAAAGCTTGAGTGAACTTTTGCACTGGTTTGACAGAATGTTTATCACAAATTCCTAAAATGCATGAACTAGAAAAATGTAACTGTAACTTGTGTATAGAATACTTAACTTAATTATGTTTATGGATGGTTAATGTTCTCTTCTTCATAAAACAGTTTTCCAATTTGAACAAAGAAAAATTAATGCGTTGGCTCAATGACATAAGCTAGTTACGTATCTATATATAACTATAAAAAATATATATCAATTTGCGATCAAATCTATTTAATTTTTATTCTAGCAATGGCGTCTTCTTCCTTATCTGGCTGCCACATATGCCTTAGATTGTTTCTACAAATCCCTGTTTAAGAACTTCGTAGAATTTTATGCAGGCTTATTGACAAAGCAAAGGAGTCAGAGACAGGTGAGATATTTACATATTTCTTCTTTGCCAAGTTCTCACTACAATAAACTGGAAATTGTTAAGTGAAGGACCTACTTAGAAGTCTTAGGCCATCTTGCAATCAAGAATGCTAGAGCAATGTCTCAGAAATACAGGACATACAAAGTAATGATTAAAGTTGCATTCAGAAAACATCCAAATTAGTTTGGATGGAATGGTTAAAGTTTTACTGATTTCTGTGGGATTTAAGGTTATGTTCTCTTGTAGAATTGTTTATCATAAATGCATGATGATGATGAAAATTCAGTTTATAACTGTTGTAAATGATACTGCAGGGAGCATATATCAAAGACTTTCTGAAATGATACTAGTGTTAGTTCCTGCACAGACTATCTGAGTCTGGCTTGATTTTGCAATTCGTATTCATGCATTACAATAAATATTTTTGGAGAAAAAAGTTAAGACATTTGAGTCTTAATGCAGAATTTCTCATCTACAGTCAGACCATTGGGAGTCACTCCTTTGCAGAGGAAAGAGTTTGATCTACCTGTCTCTGTGCAAGGACTGATTCTCAACCAAAATAACTGCAGTATGTTTTTTTAATAGCATATAAATTTTATTTATTTTAAAAAATGTTAACAATATTAATTGTTAGAGCCTACACACTGGCAGTGCTCAGAACACCCCTAAACACTCAGGCTTTTTTCAGCTAAAATAAAGCTTGTGAAAGATTTGTGTACTAATGGCTGGCTATTCTAATTTCTCCTCTTTGTGCAAACCACTCAAGAATCTGATTTTTTTAATCTGATATTTTATCTCTGGAGGTCTCCAGTGCAGTCACTAATCTTAGACAAAACAGTGGCATTCAGAAAATCGTGACAGAAAAAAATCTGATTGTTGACAATGTTAAGAATGTAATCCTTATTAATTCCTTTTGTTCTACAGGAAATCTTAAAAAACAAACAATCAAACAAACAAACAAAAAAACCCAACCAGAGAGTTACTCTTAAACAAGCTTTGGTAGTATCAGCCCACTGTCTCCAGAATCTGGAATTCCAAACACATTTTCAAAGGAGGGCTAACAGAGTTAGTGTAAATGCAGGGTACTGTGATTCTCCGGAAATTGAGGGGGTGCATTTAAGTTTTCCTACTCTGCAAAATTGATCTTTGTGTCATGGTTAGAGCCCAGAAGGCATCTGAGCATCACCCATCCACTCGCTCACCCATTCCCCCCTTAGGAATGGGAAGGAGAAAATAAAGTAAAAGGCTTGGGAATTGAGAGGAGGACAGGGAGGGATGACTCACACATTATGATCACAGGCAAAAGACCGACTCGTTAGGGGAAGAAAAAGAACATCACTTTAATTCAAACACTAACAACGAAAACACTTAACAGAGTAGGACAGTGAGAAGCATTACCACATCTTAAAAACACCTTTCCCCCATCCCTCCCTTTTTGCCAGTCTCAGTTTTGCTCCCAGTTTCTCTACCTCCTTCCCCCAGCAGTGCAGGGGGCAGGGAATGGGGGTTATGATCAGTCTGCCACTCCTTCCTCCTAAAAGGGAGGACTCCTTGCATTCTTCCCCTGCTCCAGCATGGTGTCCCTCTCATGGGATACAGTCCTCCATGAACTTTCTGTAGCATGGGTCCCTCCCACAGGATGCATTCTTGCTGAGATGCTCCAGCGTGCGTCACCCCCGTGTGTTACAATCCTCCCAGCACCGAACTACAGCAGCGGGGGCTTCTTCCTATAGAGTCGTGGCCTCGTTCAGGCGCAGTCCTCTGCTCTGACATAGGGTCCTCCACGGGCTGCATGTCTGCATCTGCTCCACCGTAGATCTCCATGGATGTCGAGGGGGGCAGCCCTGCCCTCTAACCACGGGATACACGGAGGGAGGGGATCTTTGCACTGATGCACCTCCCCTTCTTCCTCCTTTTTTCTTCCACTGATCTTGGTCTTCATATAAGTGTCCTCCTCTCAACTCCCTCTCACAACTCCAACTCCTCCTCCCAGGTTCCCCTTCTTAAATACGTTATCACAGAGGCACAGCCACGGTCACTAATTGGCTCAGCCTTGGCCAGAGGTGGGTCCGACTTGGAGCCAGGGGACATTCTAGAAGCTTCTTACAGTGGACACCCTTGTAGCCCCCTCCCCTGCCACCAAAAAACCCACCACACAAACCCAGCACAGCTTGAAATATCAGTGAAAACAATGTAAGACAGAAAATATTATAAATATCCCCTTGGTGACTGGGGAGAGAGGGATTGCTTATGACACAGAGGGGCTAGAAGCTTTGTCTCAACATGCCACCTTCAACCACCTGCCTCTCCATCTTTGAGAGGAAAAGGTTGGCAAGCAGTGAACTGTCCCATGCAATGCTATGTCAGCTGGCACATCTGAGCTCAGATGTACCCATGTGTCCATTACCTGGCACAAATCATTGTTGTCCCATATAAGAAAGTTAGTGCTGAAGATTTTTCAGTTGCAGCAGCAAATAATATGCTCTGCCCTTACATAGATCTCAGAAATTTTTACGTATTTATTGCCAGTTATTCTTTTCTTCATTATAAAGCACTACACGTAGCTATGGCTGTAACTGGTCAAAAACTTACTTTGTGTAAAAGTTATTACTTACTTGTAACTTTTTTTTTCACAAAGGCTGATATGGGACGTGAGATTCATGCCTTATCCTCTGCCAGCAAACCACTGTCGTCTTGGACTGCTCAGCAGGCAGCCCAGGAGTGCCGAGAAGCTTGTGGAGGACATGGTTACCTTGCCAGTAAGTTACAGACTACTGCATACACTGATCAGAAAGAGAATGGTGATGTTGATGTGTTCTTTTACTGTTGTTGTGTCACGGTGTCTGAATTTTAGCAATACAGATAGACAGGGTTTTTCCCTCACATCCATATTTTCATAACTGATACCACAAAAAGAAACTAAACCCATGGAGCATCTGCACCAGTATTTGGACAGACTGTACATGTGATTCAGTCTCAATTCCAAAAATAAAGATGCAGACTTTACAGATGAAAATTCCTCTTGTAAGATGAATGCCACATTTTTCCAGTATTTTCATTTTCACAAGCTAGACAGTGAACTTTCAAGCTCATCTGTTGGTAACAATAGCTACACATACAGGAACAGACAACTCTCTTGCATTTTGTCATAGAATAATTATTTAAACGCCCTTATCTTCCATTAATACATTGCAATATATTAAATTGTGCATTTGATCTTGTTAAGTGAATCGTCTGGGTGAAATCCGAAATGACAATGATCCAAACTGCACATATGAGGGAGACAACAATGTCCTGCTTCAGCAAACCAGCAACTACTTAATGAGCTGGATGAATTGCATAAGAGGTAAGTTTTCATTGTGGAATCCTATGCTGAACCCAACAGTGTGCAGCTAATGGAATTGGGAGGTAATTTCATATTGAAATAATTTTATGGAGCATAAATAATGCGCTACAGACTCCCATCATACCATATATTCACAATACATAAATATTTGCTGCAAGAAATATTCTTTCTCCTAAATCTTGCAGAAGCTAGACAGATGTTTTGCCCTCCCTAGTCAGATTAAGTAGTATCTTACTCCTTGAGAAGTGCAGTTTAGTTCAGTGGAACTACTAAAGTTGTAAGCCCAAGTATCCTCTGCTCATTGTGCTTAAAAGAGTTCACATTGCCTGACCACGTATCAATATCCATCAGTACCTTTTGTAGTTCTCTAGATTTTGTTTCAATTTTCTAGCAGTGAGTTTCACCAGCATCTTACAGAACTGGAAAACTCATCAATAGGAGTTGTATCTTATGGGACTTATAGGCAGGGATGTCACATTTTTCAGCACTTGTGTACCAGTCCTCGTTTAGCTGGACTATTTATTTACTTAAATAATATTTATTTTATTATGGCCTAATTGCATCTGGCCTATTAAGAGTATGCGTGGCTTTGTAATAGGCTTATATTTTCAAAGAGTCCAATTTCTTTTCTCATATTTTTTATTTTCTTTGGTATTTCAGATAAGATTCCTTTTGAGTCTCCTTTTGGAACAATAAATGTTTTGCAAGACTACCATCATATCCTTGGCTGGAAATTCAGAGCCATTAGTGTTGAAGATTGCATGGACTCCTCAGGTAGCCTTCTGCTGTTCTTAAACTGATTCTAGAATCTTAAATTCCAGAGGAAAGGATACAGGGATTTGAGATTCAACCTCTTCTACTTATTAGATATTCATCATATTACTATTTGATGACTTTCTTTGTGTTACATGCTTTTTAATTTACTAAGAACATAGTCTGCATTTCAAAATATGTCCTATTGTCCCCATCCTCAATTCTGGAATGAAGGCTAGCATCAGATATTTTTCTTCTGATTTTGTTCCTCTAAAATAGCATTTGTGATCTAGGGGTTTTTGCCACTGTATTGCTGTTTTCAAGTAAAACTGCTGTAAGGGGCATTGATTACCACTACCTTATATCACACAATCACACAAATATCTTACTTTAGACAACCATACAAGTGATTTAGAAATACATTGAAAAGGTTTTAGGTGTGTCTGCTTTTGGTTGTATAGAGAAAAATAAGTAATGGTGAAAAGATTCCCTGCAGTTTTTCTGGCTTACTCTGCTATAATGAAATTAAGTATGACATTAGATACCATTCCCACTTTTGTATCACTGTGAACCCAGATTGGCCCTTGGAGGCAAAAGTTAACAAAGAAATGAGGAGGTAATGAGATAGTGACAGGGCACTGAGCAAAAGTGAATCTGTGAAACTGAGAACATACAGTTTTAATATAAGGGGCACTCAAGTTGATTCCTAGAATTCAGTAACCACTTCAGTCCTCAAATAGTTGCAAAAAAGCTGGACTTTGGATAGTGTTGCATAGTACCAAGTGAGGTAGTATCATAATAGCTATGGTGTAAAATCTGAATAGCCTCAAGACACAAAGGCTTATAAGAAAAAGACTAGTTCAAAACAACTGCTTGCTTTCTTCTTTGTTAGATGTCTCCAACTTGTGAAATCTAGCAGAGCACAAACTGGTGACTAAGCACATGTTCTTTCCTCTCTTGTAATACCTACTGAACCAAACTGTAATTTTAGAAATATCTGAGTTTATTGTTCCATTCTGTTAGAAACTGGACTCTTAATTCAGGTGCCTAAAGTTAAGCAGCATGTGAACACTCACAATTGGCTAAATAATATTCTACATTAAAACTTAAACAGACACAAACAAACAGGATTCACACCAGGACTTTATGCTGAAGTACTTTTTCTCCTTAATAGTCCCATGCTGCTCTAAATAATGCACTTATGTACAAAGCAGGTCATTCAAGTGCGATTACATCAGCCACCTTTGCAATGTTAGAAGTCATGCGCTTCCATGAAATGTGGACAGTCTTCTGTTCTTGTAGTCAGAAGAGACTGATTACCTTGTGGACCTAAGTCTTAATATGGGAAGAAAATAACAAGCTAAAAATATTGGATTGAGTCAGAAGTCTGAACTGAGCTGTAGGTATACCTTATCTTTTAGTTTAGGGTCAGTTTGAACTAGTGTATGGTCAGGCATGGTATGTGTTCACTGTACAGTTACAATCTGACTATCTTACCCAGATGTTACTTATTGCATCTGCAATAACAGGCAAACTCATGTTAATGGATTGATTAACTAACACTTTCACTTTTCATCTCAGGTAACAAAAACTGAGACTGCAATAGCATCTGCATGTGAATTCTTCCATTATAAATGTGAATATTAAGAATTTTGGTTTTCTCTTTTTCACAGTTCCTTTAGCAGCATATAAATGGCTGGTTTGCTACCTGCTCCGAGAAAGTGACCTGAAACTGAGCAAGGAGAAGCAGTCTGGGCAAAGTGATTTCGAGGCAAAAAACAACTGTCAGGTAATACTTACTCAGCTTTATTTTATTCACTTACTTTTATGCAAGTTTGTCAGATCCTGTTAGTTTTATCTTCTTGCCTCATGAAGTACAATTTCCTCAAGCATAAAGCAGCAAGTGAAGTAACTATTAAAATGTAATACCTGTCCACGTGCACTGTATTGAACAGGATAGCAGGAGGACAGTTAACCATCAGCAGAAATCTTCCAGGATATATTTCCCTTTGGAAAAGGTGCAGGCATGTGCTGGATGATGTCTGTAATTTTGATAGCACAACTTCTGAAGACTAAATGTACTACTATTAAATCTAATGCAGCATCTGATTATTACATCTCCATCTGCTCCAGTGGCCAAATACATACTGTAGGAAAGAATCTTGCTCTGGCAGGTAGGTAAACTAGATGACCTAATAGGTCTATTCCATCTCTAATTTCTATAGTGCAAAGTACTCATGGAAGATACCAGACTAACAGTATTGGAACTTGAAAAGGAAACACTGACAATCTACATGGAGCAGATCCACTCTCTCACCAGAGAGTTTTAACAGCTAGGAATGGCTTAACCCCAAATTGAAGCGTATATCCCCAAGCTCCCCAAATTCTTCCGTTACCTCCATGAAAGAAACAGGCTCACATCCAAGGAAAGAACACTTGTCATTTGTCACTGAGGAGAGAGCTGTTCCCTGAAGACAGCCAGTGTCATTCACCTTATCTGCAAAGCTCATTAAAAAACGGCAGGAAGGAATATTCAACTCTGCACCTAGAAAGAGCCAGCCTAGCTTCAACAGGGGATGGTCTCTGTGAAACCACTGGTAGAGTGGAGAAAATCTTTCCTGTTTTTACCGTAGAAGCTGCTTATTAGATAAACTCTTCAGGGTCACATTCAGAATAGGAATTGCCAGAAATTCAAGTCTGATTTGCCTGACAGTTGGCCAGCTCTTGGGAGGCTGGTGCCAGGGCCAGCGCAGTAGAGAAAATGGTTTGCTCAGAAGTATGAAGGTTCTCTTCTCTTTAATGTTCAAATGTGCTAAAATTTAAAAATACTTAGGCACACGAATGCTTTTGGGATAGGTATTGATATACCTTAGGTCATTAAGTTTTCTTTTCTCCCTACAATTCCTCTCCAGGACAGTGGGGCTTTTTATTTTAAATGGCATGCCTCAAAAACATCTGAAAATTATTTACAAGCTGTGCTTTAAAGACATGTACATATTTGATTTAAAACTTTCTGTGCATGAAGAAGCACTTTTCTGTCAGCCCAGTGGCTGACTAATACATAGTATTTGTTCTTGCTATGGGAGATCTGGAAGAGATTCCTGGCCTATCCCTAGGTTATTTAAGTTTGGGGATATCTTGATAGAAACAATACAGAAGTGCAAGCAAAGGTAAAGAAGGAAATTGAATTATAGGGGAGGAGAATAGGAGATTAAGTCTTAATACTTAATTTGCAGTGTTAACACTTACTTCATTCTGACTAGGGAATTGACATTTATATCTAAAAAAAATCCATTTAGGAAGGGGGAAGTCCTCCCTAAACCTGAAGAGACTATATGTGTATTTTGCAATTCATACTTGTGTCTGAGCTTGTACATAAGTATGCTACTGAACAGCTATCAAGAGAAACACAATAATCTTTGGAATATGCTTTTTTATAATGCCACAGTGGATTTCAATGCAAGGATGATACAATATTTAAAAGAAAAAAGAAAAACCAACGAACTGACTCTAAATAAAAACAAAACAAAACAAAACTGGATAAATGGGCTAAAAACAAACACCGGTTTACAGCATTGCAATGCAGCCACAAGAGCAATGGCTTCACATTCCCCTTCTGTTTACCAACTAGAGTGTTTTCAGTCAGCAGCCTATTTCTTGGTAGCACATATGACACAACACATCAAAGGTGAAAGTAGACAAGCGTTCCTACAGTCACTTTCTACAATCTTTCTACTTCCTACAATCACTAACTGGTGACTTGTCTTTCTGATCAGATAATTTGGACGGATTAGTTGGATAATTTTTTCAAAACATATTGCAATCTAATCATAATCTAGTCATAAGCAGAATCCACTCAAGCTAACGTGATCAGATTTTTCATTTATTATTTTAAGGGACTGTAATAAGTTTTCAATAGGTTACTTAACCGCTTTGAAGATTTTATCCTCTTTATAGACTCTGCATAATATTAAATAAATGTAGACCTACCTTTATCCTCTTAGAGTTATATGGGTTTATTAATAATCCTAAAGTCAGCAAACCTGATTTTGCAAGGTTTTCTCTCTGCCATAGCTACTTGATCCCATACAGTCTGGGTGCAACTGCCAAATTACACTGGTAATGAGCATACACTCTGTGCTCCCTTTCATGAGGCTTTTCACAACTAACCTTTTCAAAGACCTTGTAGAAAAAGTTTTCTCCTAGAGTTTCTTCTTAGACTTTCTTTGATCTCAATCTAGATCAGCAGATCTAAATCAACAGATCTCCACTAACTTCACTACAGTAATGCCATTATGCACCAGCCGAGGATTGGTTATTTGTATTTTGTTACTCAGTGTCCTTCTTTTCTGTTTCCTAAGGTGTACTACTGTCAATCATTAGCCATTGCTTTTATTGAACAAACAGTCTTACAGAGATATCATGACTACACTCATGATCCCAACATACCGTCTACTCTGCAGCCAGTGCTTAAGAATCTCAGTGCTCTGTATGGACTCTGGTCTTTAAGTAAACATCTGGCTGTGCTCTACCAAGGTGAGATCAGCTCCCTGAATATACTGTGTCACTTTAGGAGTCTCTCAAATTAGATGAGGCAGATACTCAGATTTATTCTAATCAAAATTGTGTAGCACTCCAACTTAAGGGATGATTAACGCCAATGTTAGGGATGATGACCTAAAGTGCACGTCTCACTCACCCAGCAAGGTGAGGGTTCTCAACCTCAAGGAGTTACCTTCAGCAGCATCCTGATCGAAGGGGAGAGTCCCTGACCACAATCCCACTGCTCCAAGGAGAACTGGTTCAACTTGTCCTCTGGCGGGACTCCATTTATAACCTAGTCAAATCTGATCTGAAGTCATATATGGTCATCTGTCTAGAAACTTCTCTCAGCCAAGGTGTTTCATTGGCTGAAGGCCTTGTCTGTTGACCGAAGGGCCTTTCCTTTCCTATCCCTCAACCAAGGTGTGCTTGTGACCCGTCACCACATGGCAGGGCAACTCAACCCCCAACCCGCAGCTTCTAGTTTTAACTCTTCCTTTCAGCAGTCGAAAAGTTTCAGTCTCTATTGGTGCAGGTGCACCTGCCACAAGAGTCCTAACTTGGAAGGGGGAGGGAATCCTAGTTAGGATTTACATTCGAGCCTTTTCTTATTACACGTGTAATATAAAACATTATGGACAAAATTTTCAGGAGCGGGAATCTGGAGTGACAAATTAAGCCAAAAGACTCTCTCAGCTCAGAGATGATGAAGGGCTCATAAGTTTTGCTGTGGTCCAGTGCTTAGAGAGAGGATGGGAGATAGGCAGCAAGATGATGCTGTAGTGCAGCCTGTTAATGCAGAAGCCTCCAAATGTCTTAGATTAATGGTTTTCACAGGAACATCTGTTTAGTCACCTGAATACTGAACTGATTAAACTCCTTTGTAAAAGGATTGTATCAGTGTAGTCTTAACTGATATAAGTTTCTTTGTGAATGTATTTGCAGGTGGCTATGCTTCAGGTGAACAAGCTGGTAGATTTATTCAGAATGCTATTCTGGAGCTCTGCTACAGGGTAAGCCTTCAATATTGCTTTTTGTGATAAAATAATAATATATTATAGAAATAATAAAAAATAGGTATACCGGTTATTCTGTACTTCAGGGGGTAAATTAGCAGGATATTGCATTAATAGTTTCTGAATGACTTTCTGTAAAGTATAGCAACTCATTGACCTTGGATCTAGTCCTAGTTTATTTACCAAAAAATTAAAACCAATATATCTTACAAACTAAGGCTATCATTTGTGGCCTTGCAGCAGTGAAATACTGCTGTCCAGTTCTATTTATTAAATAACTGTGTGAGCTCACTAATTTTTTTTCTCAACACAAAAGCTTTTCAAACTGGATTATATTCTTCACAGGTAAGCAAAATTTCAAAGAATCTGGACTCCTTCTTATGGATTTCTCTTGAGTTACCAATAGCTGGTACTTTATGAAAATAATCTTTCTGCTGCTCTGTAGTTCACAGATAGCCATGGAAAACTACAGAAGTTGCCAACTGTATGTCTCTTGTTTTTAAACAGTTGAAAGATGATGCAGTTGCCCTGGTTGATGTCTTTGCTCCTCCTGACTTCATTCTCAACTCTCCCATTGGTAAAGCTAATGGAGAGGTAAGAAAACCCATTTTAAAATTTCTAAGTTTAATAATTAAGAAATGTATTGACTGTAAATTGCCATAACTCATTCAAGACGCTTCACAGCTACAAATGAAAAGGAAGACATTTTTTCAGTGGAAAGTACCAGAGTTAAATAGATATCAGCAGAAAATGACATTTTGTGTTTGCTGGAGATAGGCTAGAATGGGAAACTCCTACAGTATTGTTCTAGTTTGCTCTTGTGGACATCTGTCCTGCTGAAAAAAAAAAAAAAAAAAGAAAAAAACAAACATCTCCTAAGATTCCTTCGGGAATAATATGTCTTTAGTATACAGCTTAATACCTTGGAGATGTCCTAAGGTGTTTTTCTTCTCTGCCTAGGACTTCTGCTTACTTTATTGTTGTTCACATTACACCCAGTTTGTGTGATGTGCATACAAATGATACAGAAATTATTTATTTCTTTTAATTCTTCATAAAAGTTTTTATTTTAATAAGAGAAAGAAAAATTTAAAACTTGTTCCAGTTAAAAATTGCATCAGAAATTGCACAATTCTTTGAGAATTCTGTTTATCCAGTGGGAATTCTAGGTTATAATAGAGTATCTTGTACTAATCAGTGCAAAGTACCCCATTACCCAAGGCATCTCAGTAATCTTAATACAGGCTTGAAGGATGCTGTTTTGTTAGCACTTTTACTTGATTTAATGAATATATAATCTATCCTTGTTAAGTTTGAGAGAGTTTTTTTGTACAGTCTAAAGTACAGAAAGCAAGAGTTGAATTGAGAGCATAAGAATGACCATACTGGATCCAGTTCACAGAATACTCTAACTGAAAGTGGCCAAGGAGAATACTGTATGAAACAAATTAAATATCGAGATGTTCTTTCCCTGGTGTCTCGACTGTTGGGAGTTGGTGGTTTAAGAGATATCTCGTGCCATAGGTTGTATTTGTACCATTCTATTTGATAGACACAGATGTATCTATCCTCCATTCATTTTTCCCATCCATTTTCAAATTCATCTGTCTTTTGGCTTCCATAATTTATTTATGAGCATTGTGAAAAAATACTTCCTAGTCCCAGTCCACATACTTTTACTATCTGTGGGGGCCTTTTCATTCCTCTGACAGGCTTTGTTTTACTTCTCTATATCTTTCCTTGTTCTGCCACATCCTTTCTGTGGTGTCATAACCAGACCTACAAACAGGATTCAGGAGGCGGGTGCACCATGGATTTGGCTATACTAGGTCATGGTCCCTCTATGATGTTTTTTCTCTTGACGTATTTAAAGAGCTATATTTTATTCCCAAGTCTCAGCAAAATTCTTGCTCACTGGCCAACCCTACTCAGCAGAGCCAAGCTGTGGGGTAACTATTATGTAGACACTCGTGTCACAGTACGGTAGTTTGGTTTAATGTGGATAGATACTGTAGAGAATCACTAGAGCCTGGGGACACTGCCAGGAAGTTTGACAGGGTTGCTGAGTCAAGTTTACTCAATGCTTTTCAATATTCTCTGTCTGTGTCTTCATGTCTAAAGTTGTCCATCATTCCCATGGTGATCAAGCAATACAGAAGGCAGCCCAGATATTTCTAAAGAAATGCTGACATAACAGAGTTATTACTTTGGTAACACAGCCTTTCGAAATAAAGAAGGAAAGGCTAGCTCTGCATATCCAGTCAATTCAAAAAGAGGACTATAACCATCACTGGAAACTTTGTTTCCATTACTGTGGATTTTTGAGCATTAAGTTAATGAAAGAAATCATGGGAGGGAAGCTCCAAAGGTAACTAAGAAACATCATCTGCAAGAAAGTTAAGAATATCTGCATTGGCCAAAAGCCCTTTTTCACCCATTATTCTATCTCTTAAGAGAAGCCGTGAGCAGATGCTATAGGCAGGAATATAAAATATGGTGCAAGTACACAGTGTTGCTAGAATACTACCCCCTTTCTAGCAGTCAGCTGAAGATTTCTTATGAGCAGTGAGAAAACTGTCATGTAATGGATTTGGCTAGTTCCTCTTTGGCTGTTTCCTCTTTGGCTAGCTCTTACATCACACAAATACAGAAGCCACAGAGACTTATTAATATTAGAGACTAACATTAAGAATATAATATATAAGACATGCAAATAGGACTCCGAACACTACTGACTTCCTTGTGTACTAAATATTTGGTAAGTTTTTTGTAAGTTCATTAAGTCTTATTAAAATAATTTCAAGTAGCAATACCCAACTCATGTTCTGCAGAATTCAGGAAGGTTTTCTGAACTGCTTCTAAGTCTATGTTTTTCGACTTGTGTAAATATTTTCAACTGAAATTGGAAAAAGGCTGCCAATCCCTCACTCAAAGAAAATACTTAATAAAGCTTCTTGTCTTCTGGCTGTCTGTATTTAATTCTTTATTCATTGATATCTTTGCAACTTCTAAAAACCAATGCAAACATTTTAGTAAAATTACACTATGGTAAAGAATAGGTTATCCAAGCATAACAGAACAATGAATTTAATTCAGGATAATCTATGTTGTCCTGCAGTAGAGTGCCTTGCACTCCAGATCTGAGCCACAGATCATAATCAGAGCAGAAGAAAAGTTTCCAAATTTGTTATGGGCAACTCTAAGCAATAAATAAGAAACTTTGATGGATATAATTTCCCTGTAGAAGCTCTGACAATCACAATTTAAGTATGCAAAGTTATTGCCACATTATGCCCTGCCCCACAACATTTATTTCAAGATTAATTAAAAATTGTTAGACAATATTAAAACAAACTTGGAGTGGAATAAATAGTAAACACTAGCCCACATATCAAGGTAAAACATATTTAATATTAAATATTATATTTCAGCATCTATTTAAATGATCACAAATATATAGGGCCAAGCCATCTTTTGATATAGAAGAAAAGCTTTTCATTTTGCATAACTGACTGGTTTAATACTTCGTTAATGTTGTGTTATACTGTACTCAAACTTACTGCTGAAAATAGGGCCTTCCTTTCCTCATCTTTCTATCATGTTATTTAAAGTTTTAAGCTTCAGTTAATTATGAACTGCCAAATATTGCTTAAAATTATACTTTTGCAGAATTTACTTCCCATGTACTTTTTTTAACCATTCCACATAAAAATGCAAATTAATGAAGATGATGAATTAACAGTCTGCTTATGAGAGAGGAGTTTCTCATGCTCCAGTCGAACAGTTCATATCTGAGAGAGAAGTTTTACTACTTTCCAGAAATGTGTTGAAATAAAGGTAAAACCAGACATGCATGAGTGCTTCCAGACAGTCTTAAGCTTTGGACAGAACAAGGATTAGCTTCATATATCCTTGTTTCCAAATTTCTACCTTTGATAATAGAACTCATGTCAAGTTGAAAACAAGAAATTATAAAGGTTACTGGTTTCCTGCTCCTATGCCAAGGATGGTCTAAATGATTTACACAGGTATCTGATGTTTACAGTACTTTGAAATTTTGTGCTTTATCTTTGTGTTTATTCTTGTCTGTACACAATTATTCACATTTGTTATCTAGAAATTCAATCACAATATCATTTCAACTGATTAGATAATTTATCTTGCAGAAGTTTTCTTTGGTTTATTTTCTGTATGAATTAATCCTTTTTTATTATTATTTTGCAGTTGTATAAAAATATGTGGGCAGAGATCCTTCAAGGCAGCAAAGCTCTGAACAGACCTTCATGGTGGGCAGAATTTTGTATTAATAAACCTGTTACAGGCGGGCTGAGGCCAAAATTGTAAACCAAACAACTTGTAAGATGCTGGATGGGCCTGAGATGGATACTGTATTTCAAACATCAAGAGGAAATGAAACCATATGTCAAACACTGAAAATGAAAGAGATTTTCATAGACAAGTGCCAAGTGTTAAAAATTACTTTGAAATCAAGTCCAACTTGGACTCAGGGTCTGTTAACATAATAATGACAGGAGCAAGGGCAACACATCTGCACACTACTCATATTTACTCAATTAAATACAAAAAAATTAAGATTCATTATGATCACTGCTTTACAAAGTTTCTATAAAAGAAACGTTCCAATCAGTCTTTTGACTTTACTATCATATTACAGAAGTTAAATAATTAAAAACCATTTCCCACCAGGGAATTTGAAGAAAAAAGAAAAAAGACATCAAGAACACCAACAGTGATAAACCTGTAATAAGGGATGGGAATCATTTCCAGCAGCCCCTTTGAAGTCTTTGAAGCTATTCTGATGTACTTCATATGCCTTTGTGTTAAAATACTTGATTGTTCTTTCAGTGCAAGAGAAGATTGGGATTTTAGATTATCTGTCTTTAAATGGTGTGTAACTCTGTAGGTAAAATTAATTGAAGATGACTCATTTATACATCTTTTTTAAAAAAAGTATGGTAACGCAAACTTATAAGTCTTATATATGTTCTTGGTTGGTGTGTTGGGTTTCTGTGGTGTGGTTTTTTGGTAGCAGGGCAGGGAGCTACAGCAGGGGGCCCTGTGAGAAGCTTCTCGAAAGCTCCCTCAGCTCCAAGTTGGACCTGCCTCTGGCGAAGGCCGAGCCAATTACTGATGGTGGCTGCACCTCTGCAGTAACATATTTAAGAAGGGGAACCTGAGAGGGGTTTGGGATTTATGAGGAGTTGTAAGAAGGACAAACACCAAGGTCAGCATGAGGAAGGAAAGGGACATGGGGGAGGTGTGCCAGAGCAGAGAGCCCCGTATCCCGTGGTAAAACGGCAGGGCTGCCCACGTTGCCACTCACCAGTGGAGTAGAGGCTGACCTGAAGCCTGAGGAGAAAGCCACTCCAGGACAGGCATTTGCACTTAAAGTAGGCTGGGACTCTGAGGGGAGAAGCGGCCCCCGCTGTTGTAGTTTGGTGCTGGGAGGACTGCAACATGCCGGGGTGACCCACGCCGGAGCAGCATGGGAATGGCTGCGGCCCATGAGGAGGACTCACATCAGAAAAGGTTCGTGGAGGACTGACTCCAGTGAGAGAGGAGGCACGTGGAGCAGGGGAGGAATGTGCAGTGTTCCCCCCACCTCCCGAGATGGAAGGAGCGGCGAGCTGAGTGTAACCCCCATCCCCTACCCCCTGCGCTGCTGAGGGAGGAGGTAGAGAGATGGGAACCAGAGCTGAGCCTGGGAAGAAGGTAGGGGTGGAGGAGGTGTGTTTTTTGGGTGTGGTGGCGCTTCTCACTGTCCCCACCTTGTCTGTTAAGTGTTGTCTTTGTTAGCATTTGATTTAAAGTGATGTTTTCTTTTTTTTCCTCCTCTAAAAAGTCTGTCTTTTGCCTGTGACCATAATGGGTGAGCTGCTCCTCCCTGTCCTTAGATGGTCATATTCTCCTTCTCATCCCGGATGGGGGAAGGAGTGAGTATAGAGTTGCGTGGTGCTCAGTTGCCCTCTGGGCCTAAACCACAACAGTTGGTTGTAATGTTTTCAATACTGCAAAACCAGTATCAAGCATGAGATAGATTGACACACAGAGAAACTGCATCTACATTTTAGGTTAGAATATACTCAAATTATTATAAATATGGTCTTACAAGAACATATGACAGTGGTAGTCATTATTGACCATATTAGGTCTCAGCTATACTCTTTCAGCTATATTAACTATCAAATATTTTTATTCACAAATGGAAGACACTAACAAAGCTTTGAAAAATCATACTATTTTATGTTTTAGATCGCTGTGAAAATCAAATCCATTTTTCCTTTATTGTATCTATGAACTGAAGAGCTGTTAAAACCTAATTCCTGTTGCCCTTACTGTTGTTAGCAGTCCTATTTTATGTTAAAAAAATGAGTATAATGAATAATCAGGGATGAATTATGGTTTGGACTATTAAATAAATGTGATTTCAGTACTTGAGTATTGAATTCTGCTTGAGCCCCTTGTCCTCATGGGGTTTTATAATTTCATCTGTTGTTGCAGTGTCGATGTATGAAAGTTTGTAAGTCTTTACAGATTGCCACGATGGGACCAAGTAGTTCTGTAGAGGCTTCTTTGATTCCATCTAAATCTGACATAGCTCAGGAAACATTTCATGGCTGGAGAATGTATTGAAAGTCCAGTGACAAGATTTCTTAGAGTACCTCAAGGTAAATTTATTTACTAAACAGATTTTTTGTTAAAGTTTTTGTTTGTATTTTTAAGACCAGTTTGTCAAAGAATCTGAGGACTCCAGGTACTTAAAAACGCAAATACAATTTAGGATAGGCCAGACAGAAGCTTTATTAACTGTGATCATAGAGAGAGAACATTCGGAGAGCATCTTCCCCCTCTGCTCCCCTGTTCTCCACCAAGTGATTGCAGAGACCCAACCTATATGCTGTTTCAGAAAAAAAGAAAGAGGTGAGGAAAAGCAATCATTTCAATGTTAGCAAAGCCAAGTATCCATCCCTGGAGGCATGGACTCAGTAGGTAGCTTGCTAACTGCTACAATTCGAAGGAATTGGACAGTAAATAACATGGCAATATGAAGGGATGGCACTTGGTGGAGCCTGTATTAGTGGCACTCCCCGTGTTATCAGCTCAGAATTGGGAAGTTGGAAACAATCATAGACTCTTAGCTTTTAGTTGAAAGGAGTGTTCTTTTAGTAAAGATAACTTCTCACCAGATCTCTAGATAATAATTTTACCACCACAAATCCGAGGTCAATTAAACATGATCACGCTCAACACACTTCAGTAAAAGAAAAAACAACAGGCAAACACCCCAAAATGCTGAAACTGTTGTTTATGGTCCCATCAGAAAAAAGGATAAAAGTTACCTTGTTAAACCTTACTTGTATATTTTTTTTTTCTAATTTAATTTCTTTGCCAGAGAAAGTCAGTGTTGCCCATGGTTTTTTCTGCCTCTATTCTTTCTTCTCTTCTAATGAGGTACCATAATTCAGGATGTCCTAATAGAAGCTCTTTGTCTAGCTACTGAACTGTAGGAAACAGTCAAAAGTTTAGCCTTCTTTGCTGAAAAAAATCCCAGCACCACAGTATAAAGTATTTATTTTCTTTGAACTGTTTTGCCTCTTTCAATAACACCCAAGAAGTGGCATCAACCCATGAGAAAAAAAAAATACAGCTAAATACCTATCATTAGATATTATGGAATCATGGATTATCATAATAATGGATTATTATTATTATCTTCATCTGCTTTCCATACCAATAGGAAATCCAGCTAATCTCTCCTGCTTACATCTGTGCAGACTTGACAGAAGTAGGCAGAGCACGGTGTGCCTGATATCCAGTGTGACCACCAGGACCTCTGTTAGTGAAAAAGGCAAATGGGGAAGAAAACGCCGAGACCTGTAGCATTGATCTGTCACTCCACATTTTGTGCTGTCAATTGATCAGCATTATTTCACCGTCTTACATGTGTGTGATGTCACCATAACCTCTGCACCCTTCATAAGTGATGTGGTGTTTTCCTGCCTCTTTCTTCCCAGCTGGGAAACAGAGCTGTATCTAAGTCTTGCATATAGACTATAAATCTTCTTGAGGCCTTTGTAGCCCAGAAGAAAAAACAAGGGTATTTGGCGTGTAGCTTAAGCCACCTTCATCCAAAAAACCCCCTAAGAAATCAGCTGTGTCACTGTAGAACAGAACTGAGGGCCCGGTGAGCCCCAGGGATACCCACCAAACACATGACAGGGCAAACGGACACCTCTGTAGAGAGATATTCCTAAAATGTTCCTGCTAATCTTATTTATTATGGCTATTTAGCCAACATCCAAACTCCCTGATAAAAGCTGAGCTACTCTGTGCTGATAAGGACTGTACAAATGGGCAGGAAAATGTGCTGTTTGTTCTGAAAAGCTTCTGACTTTGACTAGAGCGAGCATTGTGGAGAGTGCATCAGGAACATGTTTATGGGAAGACAAAATGAGATACTCGGTAAAATGTCACAAGTATGGGCACTAATATGAACTGTCACACAGCTCGCTCTAAGCCTAGAGCTTCATGGGACCCTTGGATACCCACAAAGTTAATGGCAGGAGTTAGACACCTAAGCACCAAAGCTGAAATAAGTAAAAGCAAAGCAGGGGTACCATGAGGCCTTGGGGATTTACTCTGTGTAACACCACACATCTCTGTACCCGCAGCCGTGGGGTGATGGTGGATGATCACCAAGACTGTTTGCAAGCTCAGTGCAGGTGTTCAGCAGCTACTGGGCTTTGTATGCTCCCAGCAAAGTCTCTCTCCATTTATCTCACACCCAGTACAAAGCCACGGCACAGCAAAGGCAAGCTCAAGTGACCAGAGCCACTCTGCACTCAATATTATCAAAACTAGTATTTTCTGTATGAATATGTTGATAACCATTCTTTAATCAGTTATGACTATGAATTTTTGACCTATATGTTAAGCCAGACCTGTGTAATTAAATGATGAAAATATCCCTTTCCTCTGAAGTTAGCAATAAGCCAAAGGTTCTAGAGGTTTTCTACATCAAGCTTCTCAGGGCAGCAGGAAGTGTGAACTTGCAGAGCTGCAGCATGGAGGGAGAAAGATGTCATGAAATTTAGCATCCAATTATCCACTAAATCATAGGACAGTAATTCAGCAACTACCACAAGATGTCATTATTATGTGCAGTTTGTTCCTCTTAACAGGACATTAGAGAAAAGAGGCCTCTGACAGAACAGAAAAGTCATTTCCCTTACAGTTCAAATGGCAAATAAGTTGGATATGTCATTTTAACTTGGTTGGGGAGCTGGGTCAAAGGCTGTCAAATAGCTTCAGTCGAAAACAGTTTGGCCATGGGAATCTGTCCTTTCAGGCTGCCACATGAAGGCAGCTAAATCTGTCACTAGAAGGCTGAAGCCAAGTAGGCCTGAAAGAGCCCGAACCTACTGTTTCCCCCGTGCCCATGGCTTGTCTCCTCAATAGTCATATTTTCTTTCTTTCTGACTTTGTCAAACCGCCTACCTGCCAAGGGTATTTTAAACTGGTTTCTTCTGTGATGTGATATTTCTGCTGATGTGACTCAGTTAAAGCGGAAGCTCTCTTTCTATCAGAAAAAAACCACAAATTTTTCATGTGCGTTAGGACAATACAATTTATGTATTGGCAAGGTCAATACATAAATATTTCACATCACCTTTTGTAGGAGTGATGGTGTCAGGAGAAAGGCTTAAGGAGCCAGATGGAAGCCCTACTATCTTTACAGCTGCAGTTCTGAGTATATGGGTTTCCCAGAGGTGCAGAGATAAGTAGACTCATATGCTGCCATTTATGTCTGAAAGCTTCTTTCCCACTGTAATAAATGATTTATCATGTGTTCTGCAGAGTAGCAAGTTTCTCTTCTGTTTGCCTTTATTCATGTATTTTCTTTATTGACTTGATGTATTTTC